TAAAACATATTTTTTTAAATAATTTAATATTTTATTTAAAATATTTTATATAAAAAAATATATAGGGTTAAAAAAATTATTTTATTTAAAAAAAATATATATATACTAACAATAAATAAAAAAGTCTCATCTCTCTTGTGGCTTTTTATATAAATACAAATGCATGTGCGGTTTTTGCGGACTGTATCAACGAAAAACATTTATCTCATGTCATATAAATCGCGGTTTAGTCTCTTTCACAGACCGATGCTTATATTTGTAAGGAAAGATCTGACAGTAATAAAATATATTGTAACTGAAACACTATCGATTCGTATTATATTACAACACGACGGAATAAATCTTCCATAAATATAAACGCATTTGTCTTTCACATGAATACGTTTATACAATAATAGAGAAATATTATTGTGTGCAACGTGAATTAATTTTTTATCGTTTTATACGAGTTACACCGTTCTTCATGTATTATGAAGATTTTTCTCGCGTTTTTATTACCGCGAAGAATACGTCGAGCGATAATATCAGGTATTTTCAATCCGCGTATACTCCAGGGGAGACATATCGCGAGAGCTAAATGAATTAAGTAGAGCGTATCCGCGTCGTGTCTGACCTAGTTGAACGTGCGTGCCTAAATATCTCTTGTTATCTTCACATGCGACATATTCATGGTTTTCGAGAAATTCGTGGGATTAATAAAAGTTGATAATGAATTAAAATTGCTTTATCTTGAGCGCGAAATATATTCATGGCCAGAATAAAGAGGGACAGAGAGAAAAGGTTTGACATACTTTTGAAGTACTCGGGGAGAAAATTAATCTCAGAGTCTTCAGAGAACTTCACATTTTGAGATTAATTTCCGCAGATTTTACGTTTTAAATTAATTCAACGATTATTCTCGAGAGTCTCCTAGTTGGTACGAGATATTCTATCGTTGTAATAAATTACTTTTGTACAGCCATATATTCCCAACAGCCTTATCTTTCTCCACGAGCAAATTCAAGGGTGCATCGATAGATACAAAAAGTTATTTCTCACGTACATCGCGCGTACTGGAGCGATGATTAATCGTTCGACGATGATTAATCGACGATTACTTCGAAGAAGGCGCGCAAAAGGATGCCACAAGAAAAATGGAATTCTTCCCTCGACTCTGCGGATTCGACACAACCTTATAAAAGCTGTATTATTCGTCCTTATATATAGAAGCGATGAATATTCGCGCACATTCGGGGACTACAGGGAAAATCCATTAACACTACTACTTCCGCCGCATTCACACCTCCACATCGCACGATTTTATGATATAAAAAGTGATTCGCGATTGCATTAAAGGTCATTTCACAATAAATTGCAAATGCCACTTTGATAGTTGCGAATTAACCAATCGGAACAAAGCAACCTGTCAGCTGATTGTCAACTGGCAATTGTACTATAAAAAAATTATTAACTGGACTAAACCTTTTAACTAACTTACTAGTTTGTTAATTGAACATATATTAGTATTTAAGTAAAATATACGTTTTGTTAGATTTAATTATGTTACATTAAATTTAAATATCTTTATATGTTCAATTAACAAAATAATATTTAGTTGAAAGGTTTAGTTAATAATTTTTTTTTACAGTGTGCGGATTGACCAATCAGAGCAAAGCAACCTGTCAGCTGATTGTTAAGTGACAGTTGCGGATCGATCAATCAGAGCAAAGCAATCTGTCAGCTGATTGTCAACTGACAATTGCGGATTGAGCAAAGCAAGTTGTTAGGCGATTAAGCAACCCTTAAAGTACCGCAATTATTTTACCATTTCGTTTATTAACGTCACATTAGGATGCGAGTCGCGGAGTTACGAGCACTCAACGAGGAATTACCGCGAAACTATCTGCTGTGCCGAGGATGTTCTCGTCTCTATTGTACCGGTGGGTTATTCCGAACAATAGCCGGCGGCCAAAGCAGTTCGCAAACTGCATAACAATCGCACGGAAAACAATATCCAATGTCATTTGGTAACAATTAAACTCTCGGTTATCCGAGGGAGAAGATTCCGCGAATGTAACTTCACTTCCCGTGTAATTTTGCGACACGTCAAATGGGACGTGTAGCGTTTTATTCCATTTACGATTGAACACAATACTTTGCCGTCATTCTCTCGTGAATTCTGATGGCAATTTGGAGAGTGTAAAATGTCACACGATTGTGTGTGTTCATCCGCAAGAGAGAGAAAAAGGGAAGCATGAAAATGTGCGAAATGAAGAATCAAGTATTCCTTTTTTCTGCGTTTGATGAATAGGGCTGCCTGGATGGTTGACGTTGCACAAAGGCCGCGTTCGAATTTCGATATCACGATTCGCGAGATGAAAGTGACACACACACACATACACGCACACAAAGAATCACCTGACCAAGAGGACCAATCTCACCTGGCATTCAATGTCATGTCGCGTTGTGTTTTTTTTCTTTCTCTCTGATCTACTTGGTGTCGAATCCAACACCTACACGTCCGACTCACGAGACTGGAAAAGTGGCTCCGACAATAAAGCAAATATACTGTTGGCTGGCTGGAGTGTCAGAGAGCGAATCCGCCCACGGCTCGTCAATAATTCCCGCGGATTTGCACCGATGTTCAATAATCGCCCCTATATACCATGAAAAATTCAAGTCCCAAGGGACGGCTGTCGAGGATCATCGCTGAATTCTTCTCGCGGTTGAATATGCTAATAAAAAATTTCAGCTTGGGGGTAATAATTTTCGATATCGGCTTCGCATATCATTGACACGGATATATCAAAAAGGATCATCTACTTTATTATCGAAATATTCTGAATTTTCTTCTCGTAAACAGTTCTCTCCCACGCCAACTCATACTTGAATCATTGAAGAAAATGGTCTTTTTTTATGAGATCTAGTCTATCATTATTTATTGATCAAATGTAATGCAAAAGCTTTCTCTCGTGAGCAAAAAAATGCCTCCTGTGAGGTTTGAACTCACGACCCCTGGTTTACGAGACCAGTGCTCTACCACTGAGCTAAAGAGGCGTTCTGTCTCATCGAACGATACCATTCACCCTTGTGGTAGATAATCGTCGAGGGACATCTACCCTTCTATAAACAGCACGCGATAAAAATTGCACAAGACATTCACGCGACCAAAAAAAAAGAACTAATACACTCTTTTGCTTTTTTAAAAAACAACAGAGATTAAAATTGTAATAAAAAAAAAATAAAAATAAAATTGGAAAGATACAGGACACATGAAAGTGGAAAAGTTTGTAGACTGATCGATTAACACGATCGCGACTGCAGCTACACATTTCGTGTTCTCTCTTTAAATGATTCACATTTTTTTACTTTATGAAAATATTAATTATATTATAATTTAATTATATTGTACCATATATATATATTATTAATTATAATTATAATATATAATTATATTACATATTATACATATATATATTTGTTATATATTATATTATATATTATTATATATTATATATTATTAATAATTAAATATTATAAACATTAATAAATATGAAACATATCGATATATAAAATATGTATAAAATAAAAATATAAAACAAAAGAATATATAAAAGTAGAGAACAAGTCATCTATTCACCGCGCTGTCGCGAGATTTTTCAAACTTTGCCCGCGTGGGCAAGAGCCCGCGTTATCGCGCGAGAATTCCGAGAATACACCCTGTCAATAATATGACACGGTGATCGCCAGACATATATTGTTCCAATACTTGGCGGCGGCGGCTGCGGCGGCGGCGGCGGATAAGCACACGAGGCGATAAAGCGCGCCTCGCGGCATCAGCTGTTCGGCCGGCGGTGTATTGACAGCTGCGGCGCGCGCGATCGCCGCCGGTGTATTTTGACAGCTGCGGCGGCGCGGCGTATTGACAGCCGCGCCTCGTGACTCGACGGTGGCATGAAAAAGCGCGCGTCGGTGTCTCGCGCACAATAGCACACGTGGTGCCTCGGCGAGAGCGGGACACATTTTATTTATAAAGCGGCAAGAGAGAGAGAGAGAGAGAGAGATCAGTATGTATGACATGCGCCATGGGAAATGGGGCACGCCGCGCCGGTGGAGCTGCTGCTAGAAAAGAGCGTCGTCGGTTGCCAGACCGATGCGTCGTCGCCGTCGTAAACGTCCTGGTGACGAGCTCGCCGGGACGATAAGTAACGAATGTAAAGGCGGATGTCGCAGCTGAAATGTCGAGACAACGGAGAGCCCGTTCGCGATTCAAGGTACACGAGCATCGGGGAAGGTTAGGGTCAAGACGAAGCACGAGGTAACTGTAATTAGGTCGATCCGGAATACGAAACGTCCCTAATAATCGTCTCCGCGGCGCGTGGCCCGGTAACAATGCTATTATCGATTGTTCATGGCCAATGGACCTGGATAACAATGAGCATTGTTGGATCCGTTGATTCGTGACGTCCCCCGGGTTTTGTGTTTGGTTTACCCTTACATCCGTCCTTTTATTTGCAGGATGTAAAAAGAAGAATACAGGAATAAGAATTTTAATTTAATCTAAAATTTAATTAATTATATTTTAATCAGTATACTTGATCAGAAATGATGTCTTTGCAATTTACATGTATATATGTTGCATGTGTTTAGCCATACATTATTAAATTACAATCTTTTGTGCTCTATATAAGACTTAAATTAATTGACAAAAAAATTGAGAATAGCTACGTTTGATAATTTATATGAATTTCTTCCAATCCAAAGCATAAGGCATTTTTCAATTTCACAAAAATAAATTTTACTTTGATGTCTTTTAAAAACTTGAAAGTTTTATGTTTTAATTATCACAATACTTCAAATTATTCTAATATGTAATAGAATAGAAAAAATATCTATTATAATAGTTACATATTTTTACAATTCGAATTTGATGACATTTGTTATTACATTCTTTTCAGAGTAATATAAGTACCATAAATATATGTGTAATGATTAATATAATATTATTTCTTATGTATTAGGTGATAACTCCACTTCGATCATTGGTTCTTTGTGGTGAAAATAGACGAGACATGGAGGAGTGGTTGAACGCGATAAGAACAGCGACGGAGAATCGTCCTCAGGGTGATCCTGGAACTGCCGAGTTACTAGGAGGTAATCATCAGTGGTATGCAACTAGTCATGCCAGACCTACGTATTGCAACGTTTGCAGAGATGCTCTGCATGGTAAGGAATTGTATTTCTTTGTTATAACACAATCATAAATGAGAAATTTCTGTAAACTTATTTATTTAAAACATGAGCATTAAAATATGATTGTTATTACAGGTGTTACTTCCCATGGTTTAAGTTGTGAAGTCTGTAAATACAAAGTGCACAAGAGATGTAGCGCAAAAGCAATAAACAATTGCAAGTGGACCACTTTAGCATCCATTGGAAAAGATATCATTGAGGACCAAGATGGGGTGCATAACATTTTATTAATTAAACATGTTTTTACACAAGAATTTAATAAGCCAATAAATACGTAATTTCAATTGTGCATATACATTTCAAGAATATATCAATTACAATTGTCTGATAAATATATCAAGAATGTCTTTTACGTAATAAATTGTATCACTTAATCTAAAATTGTTTCACATTATCCTCTTTTGTAGAACATCACAATGCCACATCAGTGGATGGAGGGAAATTTGCCAGTGTCCTCAAAATGTTTCATCTGTGAAAAGACATGTGGCTCTGTACTTAGGTATTTATTCTATGATGCATTCTTACATAAAATGACGTTCGATCACACAACTGTCGTATGCAAATTGACGTGTTATTCATAGGCTTCAAGATTGGCGGTGTCTATGGTGCAGAGCAACTGTACACACAGCATGCAGACCTGCCATAAGTATCAAGTGTCCATTAGGACCAGCTAAACTCAGTGTAGTGCCTCCTACGGCTTTGCATAGTATAGGTAATAATTGTACTTTTCGCCTATATTGTAAACAATAATTGTATGATTTTGTGTGTAAATAATTTATTATAATAGCAAAACTATGTTCTTAATGATTATCAGGTAGTGACGAAGCTTGGGAAGCTGTTAGACCTACAGGATGCAGTCCACTTTTAGTATTTGTAAACAGTAAATCTGGTGACAATCAAGGTGTTAAGTTTCTTAGGAGATTTAAACAATTACTGAATCCCGCACAAGTGTTCGACCTTATAAAAGGAGGACCAGGTCCAGGGTAAGCATAATGAAATGTATTCTTCACAATTAGCTGCAGTGAAACATGTCGAATATCGAAATTATATTTTTTGTTTTTCCAGATTAAGACTGTTCCGTCACTTTGACCCGTTCCGGATACTAGTTTGCAGTGGAGATGGATCGGTGGGATGGGTGCTTTCGGAAATTGATCGATTGGGAATGCACGTGAGTATCTTGCAATCAACAACTTTATTTATCTCTTTCAGCGCATGACTCTTCAATTTATCATTTTCAATCATTATTTTCTTTTGAGTCTAATTCCGCTCTATCTGTGCGAGGCTACTATGTAAACGTATTTATTTCAGTATGTTTCTTTGCACAACGACTTGGCACAATAATACTTTTCTGTATTAAGCGCATGATTATAAATTATTATTAGCCTAAATATATGAGAATTATAGAAATATAAAACAGCATTGATGTAAATTGTTTTAACATATTAACGTATTTTTTACACAATACAATATTAATATATAAACAATAGTCTGATATTCAGTATTCATTATATTACAGCCAATGGTTAATCTTTTCGTGTTTTCGACCATAAACTGCATGGCGTGTCTCTTTTATGATTTTATTCCAGATGAAACTGGTGTGTGTGCTTTAGGCTTCTTTATATGCGAAGCTTCCTTAACTTTATTTACAGACGGTAAGTGAAATGCATGACTAATTTATTAATTTAGCAAGAAAATTTATTACATATTAATTATTTATGTAGAACAAGACATGCAGATTAAAACGTGTTTTCCAAAATTTGCAGAAACAATGCCAGGTCGGAGTGCTACCTCTAGGAACGGGGAACGACTTGGCTCGAGTATTAGGCTGGGGAGCATCTTGCGACGATGACACACATTTACCTCAGCTGTTGGAAAAGTACGAGAAAGCGGGCACAAAGATGTTGGATCGATGGAGCATTATGACGTTTGAACGCAGCATATCTCTGCCATGTCACAAAGTGACTCTGCATCAGCCCGACCCGGCTATAAAATTGAGTGTAGCTCATCAATATGAGGACAACGTACTTGCTCATATATCAAACATTTTGCAATCCGATCAAGAGAGCGTAGTTCTATCTAGTGCCAAGTAAGTGATTTTGGTCACGCGGGTGTGCGTATGCGATTGCAAAATTTTGCCCAACCCGAGATTTCCTTTTGCAGAGTTTTATGCGAAACAGTGAAAGATTTTGCGACACACATACTGGAAGCCAGTCTAAACACAGGGGACCAACAATTGGGAGAAAAATGCGAAGCGCTTCAACAAAAACTTGATTTATTATTGCAGACATTATCAAAAGAGGAAAAGTATTTGTTCGATAACGCGGAGGAAGCTGACATTGGCACTCTAAATACCGAAACTTTAAGTTGCAATCAAGAGAAGGGTGCTTTGGAAAAACCAGAGAAGGAAATAACAAACTTTAAAAAAGCCATAAGAAGAAGATGTTACATGGAGAGAGATGCTGTGATGTCTAGGTATGCAACGTACATTATTTATAATACTGTATTGAAATATATAGAATAAGAGACATGTGTTTTAATACCTTACCATTATTTTTTAGAGCAAATAGCTTGAAAAGAGCCATCAGAAGATTAGTGGAGCATACGGAATTGACCGTCGATGAACAGAACGACCCCTCGGACGAGAAGCAAGGTATCAAGATGCCAAACATCACTATAACATGCGATAATTCGCCGACTACTCCGACCAGTAAGTTACTTGATTGAAGATAATAACAACGAAAATTTTCTCCTTTTAATTCATGTTCTTGTAATGGATAATTTAGATAAAAAGCAACATTTGGACATCCCTGGCTTCTTACAAACAGACCAAACATCGGACAATATCAGTTCAATGCCAACTGCAGAATCCGGTAGCAGCCTAGAGATATCACCTTGCCCGAGTCCTACCCCTAACGTGGCGTCCTTGAGTCCGATGCCGGACTTGAGGAGAGATTCGCAACCCGAGGAATTGCTGACTCTTCCCGCGCCCGACGGTTTCGCCGACAGTAGACGAAACAGCGAAAACATGCCGCAAGGGTAATTCAATTTCAACGCGATCCTTATCAGTGTTTGCTATTATCTAAATTAAATTATATAGATGATTATCTAGATGACATTTTGGCGTCATCTTATCTTTATATAGATAATAAAAATATGTATTAGCTGTACCCGCGCACCTTAGATGAAAAAGAGTATTATCTTTAAATTATCTAGAATAATTTTCAGATAATTTTTGTTTAGAATTATAGCACATAAAAATACTTAAATAGTCGAACTTAAGCAGTAAGCGATAAAAATTTATAAATAAAAATATGAATACATATATTTTTACATCCTTTTTATAATTACATTTTTTGTATAACTGTGTTTACATAAGCACTCTTGAAAATTATTATCTAGATGAATCGCCATATAATTTTATATTTTATCTCGATATATTTAAAACAAAATCATCATCTTATCTAAGATGAATTTACATATTTTTATCTCATCTTTATCTAGCTAATTTGAAAATCAACCAAGTACAACACTGATCATTATACATATGTATAGTGTCTGGATTGTCAAAGTTACATCTTGATTTGATTTTAGAGTTTTCAGTTTTGACTCGGCCGGCTGTCAACAAGAGGCGCAAACAACTATTACCAGCGACAATTTCTTTTTGTCCTCCGAACGCAGCCAGCTAGAGGCTGTCTCCGACCTCCCAATCACTGTCACAAAGACCACTTTAGACACAAGTACACCATCAGACGACGCGACCATACAAGATACTATCGTTTCTCCTGACACAGATTCGCTTCATTCTAGAAATATCTCGCCAGAACACGCGCAAAAAACCGCGAAAGACACGTTGGGACCCAGAGGTAGCTGTACCAACAGCATCATCAGTACGGACAGTATCGTTTCCGATATGTTAGATTCCAAAAGTTACACCATTCGGAATAGCGAGAGTGAAATTGGTAGGTAGATTCTTCGCCGACGCGACTTGTCGCGTTGCTTTGCGTGTATCTAATTATTAGATAATTTCTCTACGCTTTTCAGGACACGTAGACAGCGATATATTTGATTCCACCAAGAGATCGGAAAGCTCGGAGATCGGGCACATCGACTCGCCGGACAACTCCGACATGCTTTCTACGGAGACTCAACATTCGGAGAGTGGCTTGGAAGATCTGAGTTCTCTCGGACAGGATGTCATCAGTGCGATAATGGGCGAGAAGTACGATTCTGTCAGAGAAGGCTTGGATATCGAGGAATCGCGAAGACCTTGCGGTTTAGCTCGGTTCAACGAAGGCAACGACATCGGCAGGCAGTCATTCAAGGCGAGAAATTTAAAGGCGGATAAAGAGGTAAAGAATGGAAAAATTATATAAAGGTGTTTTTTGTTTAGTTTCTCTCGTGAAATTGAAACATTTAAAATTACCATAATCCCCGTTGCTTGGCACACATTTAAATATCATCGTGTAATTTTCTCTTCATTTATTGTGTAAAGGTTTATTTTCTTTTATACAGAGAAATTATGCGAGATATTTTCTCATAATGTTATCTTTTTAAATAAATTTATTTATTTACTTTTAATTTCTTTTAAATTTATTTATAATTTTATTTTTCTATTTTAAATCTACTAAAATCTGTACACTGAAAAAATTGATTAAATTTAAATACACAGAAAAATTTGTTTTCTTGTTAAAAACGGTCTCCATTAAATTTTTGTGTCAAATTTAACATATTACTATTCTGTTAATTGAACTTAAATGTTAAATTATTAAAACAACTGAAAAAATTAATGTCGAAATTGTTGTTAACAGGGAATGCTAAATAAGACAGACGGTTTGACGACGTGCGTACGTGTATCAGGAGCTAAATCGATGCAATCTGTAGAAACGAATATAGTATCCATCAAGTTCGATAACATTGAAAAGGAAAGAGTGCCCGATGCCGGTTTGTTGAGTCCGGTGTGCTGCTTCCCCGTCTCGTCGGACAACTCACAGGCCAACGAAAAGTGTTCCATAAACTTTCCACCTCAGATTAGCGTCATCATTGATCCGCCAAGTCCATCGTTGTCGATTGAGAGCCATCACAAACTTAATTTAGATTACAACCTGGACCCACATGACAAACAGTACAGTGGCGGCGGTAGTATGGAGAGATGTAAGTGCATCTCGGTTGATATATCATCAGATCTTCTTAATTGAACTGACTGCATTGGTTCAGAGTTTATCTCTTTCCTTCCAATGTGGAATACTAATAGGTCTGTTATTTTTTTTTTTTTTTTTTTTTTACCTGAACTGGCTGTATTTGTTCAAAGTTTATCTCTTTCCTTTCAATGTGGAGTAAAAAGATAAACTCTGAACTAGTGTAGCTAGCTGAAAAGAATAGATTTAAAGATAAACTCTGAATTAGTAGAGCTAATGACGTGTGACGTAAGCTGATGACGTTTTTATATGGTGCAGTAAGCGTGGAACTGCCCGAATCGGGTTTTTCTCCGCAAGCTACGCGGCGCATCAGTAGCGGCAGCTTGTTGAAGGCATCGGAAGTTGTGTCATTGGCGGCTGCTGCTCGTCTAAGTGGTTCGAGTTTGAGCTTGCGCCACGAAAGAGCGAAATCTGTCGACAAAACGGAGGATAAGAAACTTCCGATAATAAATCCCTTGGTCCGATTACCGATGTGGCCTAGTAAGTCAAAGATGCAATATCGAAGAATAATTGCTTCCATGTTACATATTTTTATTTATCATTATCTTTTTAAATGTAGATGTAAGCGGTGGAGCTGGTCTTATCAGTCAAGCGTTGCTGGCAAACGCGGATGCTCTGTGTGCAGCGGTATCGCCATTAATGGATCCAGATGAAACATTGATGTAAGTCGTACGTCATTGTACAAGTAATCACGACGATCAAGCAATTGATTTAATTCTGAATTCTACAGGGAAGGCTACTTCGAACGTTGCGTCATGAACAATTATTTTGGAATTGGCATAGACGCGAAAATTAGTCTCGATTTCCACAACAAAAGAGAGGAACATCCTGAGAAATGTCGATCGCGCGCCAAGAATTATATGTGGTATGGCGTCTTGGGATCTAAACAGTGGCTACAGAAGACTTATAAGAATCTCGAGCAAAGAGTTCAGCTGGAATGCGACGGCCAAAGGATACCATTGCCTTCTCTGCAAGGAATCGTTGTGCTAAATATTCCAAGGTACCTGCAAAAGAAGACATAATCGGTGTATCTGTGTACAATTTTTTATGTAAAATTTTTGTTTCAAATGACAGCTTTATGGGCGGAACGAACTTCTGGGGCGGTTCGAAGGAAGGAGATCTATTTCTGGCACCGTCGTTCGACGATCGTATATTGGAAGTAGTGGCGGTCTTTGGATCTGTTCAAATGGCCGCTTCGCGGCTCATCAATTTGCAACATCACAGGATAGCTCAGTGCCAGACAGTTCAGATTAACATCCTGGGCGAGGAAGGCGTTCCGATACAGGTCGATGGTGAGGCTTGGGTTCAGCCACCCGGTATTATAAGGATCATACACAAGAATCGCATGCAAATGCTTTATAGAAACAGGGTAAGTGTCTGTCTACTGGTTTCTCACTAAGTACAAATGATTAGCATGTGTAATTAAAAATACTTTATGTCACAGGCGCTCGAGACTTCGCTGAGAGCGTGGGAGGAGAAGCAACGCAACACGTTAAGCGCCGTGACTCAATCCACTTCTACTCTGAGTAGTGTATCGCAATCGCAGTCCAAAACGCCGTTGCCGATATGTAGTAAACCGTCACAGTTGACCGACGACGAGCTCACTATTCTGATCAGTTTCATCGAAGCGGTGACGACTTTAGTCAAGTGGGTGAAACTACTGATTATATCACACCCGAGTCTAGAACCAGATCTGTATCAGGTCGCCTCACGAACAGCGAATGCGCTTGAACAAGTACATCCGGATGGTAAAATTTTACAGGGGTAAGTGATGTGATTTAAGTGAGAGAAATCGAAGAATAAAGAAAAATAATATAATAAATCTCATCGCTCATATTTATTTATCTGCCAATAGATGAGCTTGAGGCCCATGGTAACTGAATTGGTGTCAAGTGCGAGACAATTGTACGAAGAATCTTGCGAGTTATTGCGCGATAAAGCTCACAACTTGGTGAGTATATAAATATTAAGTGAATATATATTTATATATATAAAAATATATAAATGTCATTTTATAAAATTAATAAATTTATTAAATTGATACTTATATTTTTGTGCGTAAAATACAGAGATTACGAGAGGACTTGGAAAACAAGCTATCTATGTCTTTAGCTACTATGGAACAGGAATTACGAAAGTGTACTTTTGATGAAGCAGGCACAGGACTGGTTTACTTGCAAAACGTTCCTGCAGACGATCAGGTATAGTTCTTTCTTATGCTTTCTGCAATGCTGTTCGAGATCAATTTTTTAAAGCTACAAGCTATATAAAATAACTCTATTCTCGTGTTTCTGTCGTACATTTTGCATTGTGATAAAGAGTTTTGTGATATTTATAATACATTTAATTGGAATAGCACTATATATATATATTTAACTCGCTAAAATTAGTATGTATAAAGAAAACTTTGTTTTTGATATAAATATAAATATTTAGCTGTTTGCTTAAACAGAATCTAGAGAATTAGATTTATGTGTATATTTGAGAGATACACCATAATATTTTTCTACTTATATTTTACTTATTGCACTTAATTTTTCACGAATTTATTGAAATCAAGCAAAGCACATTAATATATGATTATAAAATCTTTTATTTTATTATATATCATTTTCTATTCATGTTCGATATTCCATCTCATTAAAGCATATTTCGAGAGACTCGTTCGACGTTCAATAATAAATTTTAAAAGCTAGCTAGTTGGATGTAATATTATGAAAGCACCTCTCTTTATACAATACATTAAACACGAAAATTTACAATTCTCTCCACTTTTCGAGAGAAAACTTTACAATTCATTACACATATAAGTGTTGTTTACAAATGATAATTAATAAATTATCCTATGCTTTATTTCGGATTGATTGAGTGCTCAATCCCAATGCTGGTAATACGCTTTTAAGTCTTAATGCTTATGATATTACGTTAGAGAAATTAGAATTAGCATTTTAGAGACTTAGTTTTGCAATTGTAACGAGATATGGCGCAGATTATTTTTGTACACGTGCATGTTATATCTGCTGATCAGAGATGGATTGCTCCATTTAGATGTTTTTATTTATCTATTTATACGCTTATATGGTTCTCTAGTCTGCGAAACACAACAGTGATATATTATATATATTATGTGATATTTAGCGGTCTTAGTCGATGCTGCGCATCCATTTAGTTTATATTAGCAAGAACACAATATGCACCACCTACTTAACTTTTGCTTTTGCCATCGCGCGCTTCCGCTGTATCTCATGATTTCGTTGATGATGAATCGTTGTGCACCTTGTTTAATTAGCACTGTAACAACGAGAGGGGAACTTTCGTGATTTTATACGAGCCTCATGAGAGATTTGTATCTTGTAGCGGATGTACATGTGTGAATCTCGCTGAATTATATAGCAATAAATATCTAATGGAATATCTCATGTCTCTTATTAATAAAAATATATATATACCGGAATATGTATTTGCGCGAACATATATATATATATATATATATATATATATATATATATATATATATATATATATTATATATATATACACACTTTAATCATTGCGAAACCACATAGATCATTCGAGAGCTACTATGTGTGCCTGACGAATCCCACATATATATTATAATCAACCCCGAGTGCAATTCTCTACCTGTGCATATGACTAGCATGTCTCTAACGTATGTCGTACATAAGATAGCGTGCCGCTTTGCCACACGCTTTACCACTAATCTGACTAACACCGTGTACTAACCGGCGTCTCGAACTCTGGATCTGCAGGGGGATAAAAAAAATCGTCATCGAGGGTTGTTCTGGTTAAAGTTCCGTCGTTTCGCCGGCAACTCGGGCGCTACGGGTCATCCGGCGCGAGATCAGGTTACCACGTGGGGCGTGCAGGAGGTCTGCACCTGGTTGGAGAATCTGCAATTGGGAGAGTACGCCGACAGATTCGTGTCCCACGACATACGCGGCAGGGAGCTGCTCACGCTTGCCCGCCGCGATCTCAAGGAGCTGGGCATCACCAAGGTGGGACACGTTAAACGCATCTTGCAGGCTATCAATGACCTCAACAATTGAACTTCCGCGAGTCGAAGTTTCGCACGTTCCGGAACACAGGATATACGACGCGCAGGTAGCCAGTTACCTATAGATAGTGTTTGACACAGTAGCAAAAGAGAGATGTATCTACATCTACGGCGCATCATTCCAAACTGTAGTGAACCGATATAGCAGAGAAGATAAAATTTAAAATTGAATATATAATTGACAAAAGAACTTTCGTAACAATTAATAGAACAAGATAGATAGATTGTTATATATTCTTATCCTAAAACGTTAATTAAAACGTGCATTTCCCGATACATATGCGAGTGACATTAGGTCTGTTCTTTCCAGCTCAACTGGCTGCAGCAGTTCAGAGTTTATCTTTTTTACTCCACTTTGGAAGGAGAGAAATAAACTCTGAACTATAGCGTAGTTCAGCTGAAAAGAATAGACGTATTAGATTAAGGCTCCTTGATACTCGCCGCAGCTATGTTAGATTGTGACGTCAGAGGCGAGAAGTACACGTTGAAAATTTTGACGTACCATTTTTAGATAAAAAGATATTTTAATGAAACACAGCTTAATATGGCTTTAGCACACTTTTAAAATATTCCGAAAACTATATTTCCCATTTTAATCAACAGCCGTAAAATGACCAATATATGAGACCTGATTCTTATATATTCTTGCATATGTGCAGTCATTTTGCACGATAAAGTCTGATGTTTCAATTATTTTATGGTTGTTGATTGACTGTCAAAACTGACTCTGACGTCACAATCTAACATGACTGCGGCGAGGACCCCGGAGCCTTAAAGAAAAAAAAATTAAAAAAGATAATGTTAAGGGATAAAAATTACTACTAAGAAGTTACATCTTTTAACAATGTCGTATATAAGGAAACCATTTTTTGCCTGTGCCAAATATTTACTCTATACTTGAAATCACGATAAAAGAAAAACAAAAAAATGAATTTATTATCTCATCAACAACACACACACACATATATATAGTACAAAATATGAGATACGTCATCTCCCAAGGGGATGAATTTCCTTTCACTTTCTTATCGAGGCAATCCATGACGAAAAACTGCATACACACATAACGGAGTAGATAATTCTTGTAAAATAGTAGATTTTTTTACATCACAGACTATTATACTAGAATAAAAAAACTAGCAACATCTCGGACATACATACATATATATATATATATACATATATTTAACAATTATTGCGTGTACTTCTTGTTCAAAATTGAATCTTACGCGGCACAAGTATCTTAAATCTTGCAAGTATCACATTCTTAAAGAAGTGTTTCCTATTGTCTTCGACGTATATAAAAATTAATTGCATTATACTCGTAATTTTTAACTCATTCGGTCAATTTATTCTGATTGATCTTTACACATGACTTCGTCGAGCTACCGATATATAGTGTGCAATATAAATATACATATACATGACGGATGTGTACTCTTGTAATTATATACACAGATTTGTGATTTTTTCGGTTGTTTGATGACGTTACTAATTCGTTTGAAAAGCAATGTCTGGGCCAAGATGTATATGAAAGTGATTCTACATATATCTCCTCTTATGGCAATAAACACGATAAGTAAGAGAAGACCTAGAGATGCAAAGTGCATACACTAGTAGTTCTAACAGATTATTATGTGTACATGAAACAAAGGAATATTTTTTTCTTTCGGAATCGTAGGCCGTAACTTGCAGGATAGCTCTTGCTCGAGCTTTTTCTTGCCTTATAACGAAGCTAGTCTTCATTTTCTTACTCTCTCAGTTTACAAATATTTATCTATTTTTATATCATTATTTTTATATGGTCATTGTGCTATTTGATTATTTGCATAATCTTCTATCAGCGTAATAATCAAATATTGCTCATATTAATGATAAAAGAGATGCAATTTTTGTATTTTTTCTCCTGATAGCCTGTCTTCGTTTTGTTATTATGTGATAATTGAAGAATCTCTCGACACGCGAAAAAGATATTTTTATCGTAATTTTAGAGAGCATTATACTTTTCTCATACAGAGAGGTAAATCTCACACAAATAGATGAGCATATTACATACAGTAGTGTATTTAGTCTATGCGATAAAACAAATAAAATTAATTATATACAAACACAATTATATCTGACAAACTTAAAACAAAGTAGAATCAAATTGTGAGTACACACTAAAAACAATTATGCAGAGGTAAATATATATTCTCATCGTAACATGCAAAGAAAATATAGATTCTTTATTGGCAATGTTAGTTAGCCACAGGTTGTCCGATGTATTAATGCACTACGATGATCAACTTATCTTTGTCTTTTATACCATAACTTGTAATGTAAAACATGTTAACGAACTTGATAATCAAGTTATTTGGGAGTGAAAAAATTTCTTTACATTCCAATATATATATATATATATATATTATATATATTATATATATATCTGAAAGGACTAAAGTGCCTATCCCTATAGATTCACTAATCTTACATACAGACAAAAAATACGATCATATACTGTCTACGTAAACATGAATAGTATAACAAATTGCGTATTATTTTTTTATTTTGAATTTAGAAATACGAAACTGATTCGCCAACATACACAATATGTATTTTTTTATTTTTTAATTTAAATAATGTCATTACAATCGTGCAACAAAACGTCGCATCTTAATAGATAATATTGTTGCAATAATGTAATGCAGTATTATATAGAATAATAATATTACATTAAATGATTTTTAATTTATTATAATATAATATCTTTTTGGGAAACGAAGGAGAAAAACTTAATTGAATCTATAATATTAAATATAATATAATGACCTTTCTATATACTTTAATCACTAGATAATTTATTAAACGTTTAAAAAAATTAATCAATTTAAAAAATAATAAAAAAATAAAAATGATAAATTAACGTTCATGTCTTCTTAAAATTGATATTTTTAATTACAATCTCCAAATGTTCGTTTAGTACTTGTCAATTCTTATTACTTAAGTCTTCTGCTCCTTTTTAAATCTAGATATAATTCTGTAAATGTTATCTTGCGTATATTCGTCGGAGATATTTTCTGCAGTAAGATTCCTAATATACAGAATTGACAATCTCTCTCGTATTATCGTGTGTAATCATGGACGTCCGCAGAATTTTTTCCAGGGGGCACATGATTAAATTTTTTTCTTCCTTATTTTTTTCTTAATTTTTTAAATTTAATTTTTATTTTTTTTTATTAAATATGCAAATAATTTCCAGTATTTATTTAGTAGGAGAGAAAATGCTTAATTTTTTAAATTGATTCCAAGGAGAAATAAATGCCCCCTCTTGCCTCTCCTCTGTGGATGTCTATGTGTAACACACATACGAATAAAATGTATTATAATTGTAAGATACTTCCCTTTCCAAAATAATATACACACACATTGTTGTTTTGTATACTTATTAAAATAAAATATTTGACATATACATACCTCACAATTTACGATAAAATGTTGAAAAGCTATGTTACATGAAACGAATGTATTTAATCGTATTCAATTATTGTTCCTAGGAAAAATATACCATTTTACTATATTATTAATGATGTATATGTAATCGCGCGAAGTATGTAAAGGTATAAGTCTCTGGAGGAAGTTTGGAAACAATAGTATTCATAGTTTTTTAGAAATCTACTAGCATCTGTGTGTTTTTCAAGATTTCTTTCACTTGAATGTATCGTACGATTTTTTTCAAATATGTATAACATGCATCTGCGAAAGCATTTTACCTCTTTTTATCTGTGATAAATTTTGCGTAGCTTCTTTAATCTTTTAATTCAAAAAATTGTGTTATTATAACAAGTAACTATCAATATGTATTCACGCAGATGTATAAAGATACATCTTTCGTTCCTTCAATCAGATGTATTAATTTTTTTCGTTTCTATTTTATATCATTAACTTAATAAAATTACTTAATTAAATAATATCTTTAAAAAACACGTGCATATATAATGTATAAGAGCAATGGTATTATATTACATACATATATATATTCTACACATATATATAGTTTTATGATATACATAGCTTGAAATTAGTACTTAAAAATATTTGAGTTTGTACATAGTGAACAATCTCTAGAAATATTTAAAACAATATATATTTATTAATATATTGAAATTAATATTCGAGAGAGATTTAAAATATTTTAAAAATTACTTTTTCTATTTTTGAAAGATCAAAGTAAATATCTTCCTGTTTTTTTATTGTTTATTTGATCAATATATTGTTTTTAACAGATTTCTTTATAAAACCATACATATACATATAGGTATCTATATTTAAACACAACATTAACTGACATTTTACAATCTTAGAATTGTGTGGAAATGTTCGTAATAATATATAGATTGCGATAAAGACATCCGAAATAGGTAAATAAGTTTTTCGTTTACAGAGAATAGAGTTATAAGTATATTAAAAATGAATCTAAAACTACTGTGATAAAGACGCTCTTAATCTGTAATATGAAAAGTTATTGTCTACAATATTAACATATTATTTATCCAAATTTTAGCAATATTATAATTATTTTAATTACATCATAAGGTTTTGTTGTATCATCTCCTTTTAAATTAAGATCCTACATTGTAAGCTTAAGTACATAAGAATATGAATCGATCTATATATGTCAAGCACTTCGATTTAGACAGTTTTAATTTTTTGATAATGCATATTTACACTATTATTCTTGAATTGCACTGAGAATGACGAAGGAGTTATATTTCATTACATAATATTTAGTGTTTTTTGCGTCAGTTTTAGAGCTACACATAAAATCTTGTATAAAACATTTTATTACAGATTTTTTGGTGAGATTTATGAAAACATTTGTTAATTTTAATAACAGCCTTATACACGAGCACAGATTTAAATTTTTATAAAAATGGGTTTTGTAATAATAATAAAACTTTTGAAAGAGAGGCTGACCTGCCGAACAATTTGGAATTATTATATTTGAATAGTTCGAAGAGTTATATTATATTATACTATCAGGCATAAAATAATAATAATTGGCAATTTTAATCAAGCAATATCTTTTACAATAGCAGGATTTATAAACATATTAAGCAATATTTAATAAGTACTAATTTTTAACATTATGATTGTGTGACTAGTCTTTTTTAAAATAAACATCAATTATATTGCACAATTTTTAACACAGCATGAATTTTTTATTTTCATATATTTTATTGAATATATCAAAGAACTATGAAGCGTATTTTTGTCTATGATACTATCAGACTTTATATTACTGACTACAAAATGCTAACATCGAATACAATATACTAATATTTTATATGTATTATAAATCCTGTGTTATACAAAAGAAACACACATAATATATTTAAAAAGCTGAATAAATGTGTTCAATTTGTTGTATACATGCACTTTTTGTACATCTGTTTCGTTAAAATAATTATGCATTATTTCTACATGTTTATTATTATATAATCTTTTTGTACTTAAGTGTGCGAGTGTTATTATAAATTATCTATTACATTATAAAATGAAAATATTACAAACTATTAACTGTATCAAAAATCAATATTCTATAATAAAGTTAACTCTTAAAAAGTTCAGAGTTTTTACAAGTACTTTCTTCATTTAATTGTATATTTAAATTATATATTAAATAATTTATTAGTGTAAAGCATGTTTTAATAATTAATAATATTATAGAACATTAATATTGTAATCGCTTTTAGATTATCTTTTTCACTTCAATTATTTATATATTTTCCATAAAATATATGGAATAATATATGGAAATATAGACAAAATATTTTATTTAATTTATTTTAAATTATATACAAAAAATGCTTGACTAGAATAGCATTAATTATTAAAAGTGTAAATAATTTACAAATAGTTTTTCTAATTTCCAGCAATAAAATGCAATTATTTGTGGAAGATATTTTAATAATATTATACTGAACTCTTTCTGTTATATATAGTAACATATAAATTTAATCACAAATCTATTCCAGATGTATCTTACTGTCAATAGAAAATATGTCACAATCAATATAAAGTATATCACAATCTTCAATTAAATAATTTATATAAATTCTCAGGAAACGCAACGCTGTAATCGTAACAATGTTCTATCCTTTCCTAAAATTTCCATCATTTCAGCAACGGGTGGTCCAGCCTATACAGCATTTTATTGTATGTATTAATATTTTTCTCATAATGGAAAGAAATTTATATTTACACGCCGTATTTACCTTTAAACCGCTTAAAACGCTTCTCAGAATTTTCATCAAAGCAGCAAATGGAATTTTATTCTTTTCGGCAAAGTTTTTCAGATACATGATCATCCAATCAGTCTTGTAATTACTTTCATCTATTTCACCTAATTCTGCATTTAACAGTTTGATCGCATCTGAAATAATATGTAATATAGCTTTGATCAATAGAATTAACAGTTTTTGCGTAAAGAAATATTGAGATACCTGAACATCCAGCTTGTTCAATATTTGGCACAGAAGCTGGAACAATCCATAAAAATGCAAGCTCCTCTTTGACAAGATCATTGAGTGTAGATATTCTATTTTGTGACCATTTTAACGTACTAATTATGTGATAATCATCCAACTGCAAACTTCCATCATTTTTCCTAAAATAAAAATAATATCATTAAATTTCTCTTGAAAAAAGATGAAAGATAGTATTAACGATATTCTATACAACATTAAATATACCTTTCGGAAAATGCTTCCAACACTAATTTTTTAACCCGCTCAATTAAAAATTTATGATTCTTCTCGTTTCTTAGCAAGTTTGCTATTTCCAATTTATTAAACTCTAATAATTTTTCAGGCATAAGTTTGCCAGAACTCATTTTTAATTTACTAATATCGAACTGAAAAGCAGAATATATATAAGTAATAATATATAAATAAGAATTTTATTGCAATGTATATAAAGAAAGCAACCTTAATTAATTTTCTATTATCAACATTTATACCTTTTTAATTAGCTGCTGATAACTGTAAAGATCTTGATTCTGTTGTTCTTTATAGAAACCACCGCCAGCGCCTATCACATAATTCAATAATGCTAATGGAAAAATACCCTGTTTTCTAAATGACTCAACCTTTATATCACCTTGCCTCTTTGATAATTTGGTTCCATCTGCATTTAATATTAAAGGCAAATGTCCATAAATAGGAGGATCCCAACCAAACGCTCTGTAATGGATAAAATCAATTAAATATGATTATATAGAAATTAAATAAATAAAAATTTAAGTTTTAGAAAAAATTTTAAATTCAAAAGTTTTTATTTAAATTGATTTAAAACATGTGAACAGATGATTATTTTGAATAAAGCTACATACTTATAAAGCATAATATGCTTAGGTGTAGAAACTTGCCACTCAATACCCCGTAAGACATGAGAAATTTCCATAAAATGATCATCTATCACATTTGCAAAGTGGTAAGTAGGATAGCCATCTGATTTTACAATGACTGGATCCCCTTCAGTTTTAGAAATATCATGCAATACATCTCCATAAACCAAGTCGTTAAAGGATTCTGGTGTGGATGATAACTGAAATATTTAAGTGTAAACAACTATTTTGACATTTTTTTACTAATCAAATAATATGTGTAAAAAAAAATAAACTTAAAGGATACCTTAAATCTGATACAATAAGACGAATTCTTCCTAAGCATTTCTTTCACTTTATCTTTATTAAAATGTCGACACCTGTTATCATATTTAGGTATTTGGCCACATTTTATTGCTTCTTTTCTTAATAAATTCAGTCTTGTCTCAGTGCAAAAGCAATAATAGGCAGATTCATTGTTTAAGAGTTTCAACACTTGTTCCCTGCAAAAAGTTGAGAAATTAAATAAAATTATCCATAATTTCTCATTTTATTTCATCACTTGAATACATACTTATATAATTCAAGCCGTGCTGATTGTACATAAGGACCGGTTGGACCACCTCTGGTAGGATCCTCGTCAGGTATGATTCCTGCCCATAGCAAGTCGTCCTGAAGTTTCTCTATTGCTCCAGGAACGACTCTTGTCTGATCGGTGTCTTCGATTCTCAGAAGGAAGGTGCCCTTGTTGCTGCGTGCAAATAAATAATTGTACAATGCAGTACGTAATCCTCCTAAGTGCAAATGACCTAAAACAGATAAATGAAAATTGACATTCAATACTTACATAAAATAATATTATTAATAAAATATATAATTATTATAATACATATATTCATTATAACATACATATTAATTACAACATACATTTTTTATTATAATACATAAAATATTTGAATATCAAAATTTATTCTTTAAATAATAAAAATTTTAATTTGTCACTACAGGAGAAGAATAAAAATGATACGTTTGTGTTGATGAATTATTACCAGTAGGACTGGGCGCAAATCTAACCCTGACATGGTATTTCTTGAAGAAGCGTTTTTGCAATAGCTGAAAATTTGACGCTCGGAGTAAATTACGCTGCATATTTCTATTAAAATATTCTAATGAATCCTAGAAAGATAATAAACCGTTCATACAACGCGAATTCTAATGACTTCTTCCAGGAACTTCGTTTCGAAGGACGCAAATTTGAAGCCATATGTTCAGCAAGTTCGTGATTAGGACACAATTATTCTTCGGACATACTAATTTTATTCTTGTACTGATGAAAATTACATTAAAATTTTATATACATATTTTTGTAAAAAATTAACATTTTTTTCTCTGTATTTTTATTTCAATTTCTATTCTTTTAATTTATATATATATATATATATATATATATATATATATATATATATATATAAATAATAATATATATATATATAAATTAAATTTCAATTATTGAAATTGAAATAAAAATATAGAGAAAAAATTTTATTTCAACATTGCATTATTTTTATCCAATTGTTCTTTTATAATATATAAGAACATTATCCAAAATCAGAGATGAATATTAAATTTGATAGGAGAAAAGCAAAATAATTCAGAAAGAATTAATTTTTCGATATTGAAACAAAAAAATATATATACAAATATTTTTATATTTAGATTAATATTCATATTGATAAAAGGAAAAAGAATAGAAATATAACATAATTAAGATCTAAATAAAAGTGTCAATTGCAATCACAGAATTGATCATTTTGTAATTTTCTATTTCTTTACATTATAAATATTACATTTAAATCTTAAAGCATAAGAATTGTGTGTATGTATATACTTTCCTAGATTTCATAAACGAACACTTTATGCAGAATAGTAGTATTTTTCTTCCTCACACTCTTTCATAACAAATATATATACATTTTAGTTTCATTGTTATGATATAATGTCATACATTCGTTATTCATTAAATGATAAAAGCATACACAAATAAATTTTTGAATTAATATATCTTATGCATGACTACTATATTACACATGTTCGTATTTTACATTCTCTTTTACTACTTTGAATACATAAAGGTACTACTAGATATTTAAGAAAGAATGATATATGATATTATGAAAGGCTACATATATAAAGTTTACAAAATTATATAAACTATGTTACATCAGTTGCAACCATTAAACTGTATGCCGTAAAATTAAAAAAAGAAACAAAATTTTAACTATTTTAGCATTTTAGTGTCATGTTTGATGAATTTATTATTTATATATTAATTGGTATATACAAGCGCCTTTCGTCTGTAATGAACAAAATTATGTATGTGTTTAACATACAAAATAATAGAAAAAAATTGAGCAAAAAATTTCATAAAATTTATACTATTTATAAATTTTTCGTTCTTTAGAAAGTAGACTTATACACAATCTTCCAAACAGAAAAAATTATATTTTTTTTATATAAATTTCCTATATAAATTTATATAAAATTTTAAATATATATATATAACATACATACGTATATACATATACATGTATATATATATATATATATATACACATAATTTGCACATTTTCTTTATTTTTAATTTTTCTTTCGTATCTAATGCTAAACAAGGAACATCTATTATGCCTAAAAAAAATAAATATACACATATTGTGTGTACATATATATATACATTTTTTAGTCACATGGAGATGATCCAAACATACGTTTCGATTAAAGATTTGGCATGAATTGAAAGGGACAGATTAGAGATCACGAATTGGAATGCTGAGACGGTGTGAGGCTACCAGTATGTTCAGGGCTATGTTTCTGTTTTTTCCTCTTCTTCTCCTTCTTCCGCTTTTTCCTAGCCTCCTTCTCTTCATCGTGTCTCTTCTGCTTCTTATGTTTCTTCTCATGCGTATCGGAACCACCCACATCCGTCGTCGCAACCTCTTGTCCACTGAGTACTTCTCCAGGCTTATGCTTATGCTTTTTGTGCTTATTCTTGTGTTTTCTCTGAGGAGCTTGATTAACATATCTATATTGTTCTGGTAGCTGAAAATTTATGTTACACATTTAGTAATTTGTTTTTTGTTCCGATATTGTATACATATATTTTAACATAAAAAGACATCTTACTGGGCCAGGATGCAGTCGAAAACCAGCAAGTTGTACACTCGTTAAAGGCAATAACTCCTTACCACATATCGGAGGTTTCTCAATCACTGATCGCAAGGAGCTAGAAAGGAAGGATAAAACAAAATATAATAATTTGCAATTATTCCTCTTAGAAAATTCAAATTACCTATTATCATGATGTCCAGGTTTGTCTATGATACCAGGTAGATTTGGCAGGAAAGACGACAGCTGCTCCTTGAGTTTCTTACCACTGAACTTGCTATAGGAATGTTCGAGACCATAATAGGCCATTAAATTTGTCGCTCCAGTAAGTTCGCTTTCCCCTGAAGAAGCAACAAATTTATCCTTAATAAAATTACAAGTTTTCCTTTAAAAATACTTCCAAAATTTCCCATAATGCTCACATAAAGACAAGAATACAATACAATGCATGTAATTAACATTGATTTTAAGTTCCCATCTTCCTCGCTCACATGACTTTCATTACCTGGGGGTTCCTTCATCAAGTAGAAAGGTCCGCTGTGAACGATGGAAGGGTTCTTGCCCAGGGAAATAGTCGTCTTTAACGTCCCGGTGGAATCCTGACGAGACACAACCGGGGAACGCGCGCCCCTCGGCGAAGACTTCGGTGAGTACTGCTCCACCTTGCGAAACTGATCGCCCATTATCATCCTGGGGCTTTAGTTTATTGCACGTTTACGTCAAAATAATCTACTGATCCGAACACCTCCGGAAATGGATTTTACACAGTCCAACTAACTAAGGACACTCGTCAGCGTCGAAGCTTCATCGACGGCTGCAGCATTCTGACAGGAGTTCGAGGCCGATCCAGGATTCATCTAGAGATAAAAGATCAATTAAAATCATCATCATTATTAATACCATGTTACATACTCTTATATATTTTATATATACAATTTATAATTAACATAGAAAGCATGTGTCATAAAAGAATTATTTATTTATATATTATTATATATAATACTATTATTTATAATATAATTTTACATGAACAATCTATTTGCAAAATAACTTATTTGTATTCGTAGTTGTTTCATGTATATTTAAGCAATATTTTTGAAATTTTCAATACCTCTCAATATCTTCTTCAATAACTTGATGTACTCAATTTATTTATATATATTTAATACATTTTCTCTTCAAGAGAGAGAATCCATGTAAATATCCGCTGAGCCAGGAAGGCGATCGGCATCCTAGGAACGTGCTGCACGCATCGTCGGAATTTAAGGAAAGTACAATGACCTCAAAAAGTGTCCTCTTCTACGACGTGGAACGTAAAAATACTCGAGATACACTCGAATGTACGCTTTCCGCTGCTATCATCGCTTTCCTCGAAGGATAGCGGTCTCTTCCGAGATTCCGGAATCGGCTCGACGCAGAAAACTCGGTTGGTTGCACGCAGTCGTTTTACGCGTCCTCGCTCGTCGCCCACGAATCATATGTGTTTCAGGCGGATCCGCATGACAGGAGATCAAGCCCGGTTTTCAAGTGTCGACAATTTCCGAAAATTCATATTTTTATTCTAGATTATAATTTTATTTCATTTTCCTCACGAAAGAAATTAATTAATTCAATTTTAATTTTTTATTTTTATTCGTCTTTACGAAAATTTCGGCGCATTTTATAATTTATAATAAAGTAGAGAGAGATGAAAAAAATATGTTAGGCTATTCAACAGCCAATAGGAGAATTGAAATGAAACTGTGCGACATGTTTAATGAGGTTAGACCGGATATTTACATGGATTTTCTTCTTGAAGAGAAAATGTGTTAAATATATATAAATAAATTAGGTACATCAAATTATTGAAAAAGATATTGAGAGGTATTGAAAATTAAAACAATATTGCTTAAATATACATGAAACAACTACAAATAAGTTATTTTGCAAATAGATTGTTAATGTAAAATTATAATATATTATAAATAATATAAATAATAGTATTATACATAATAATATATATATATAAATAATTCTTTTATGACACATGCTTTCTACGTTAATTATAAATAGTATATATAAAATATATAAGAATATGTAACATGATATTAATAATGATGATAATTTTAATTGATTTTTTATTTCTAGATGAATCCTATGTTGCGTACGGTTCGAGCTTGCATGTATTCTGTGAGACATGCCCAGTATAGCACTTTACCTTCGGAAGCAGTAATATTTACGGAAGATGATAGGATGGTTGTCTGTTGGCATCCAGAGAAACAGTTTCCGTATGAATGTTCCTTACCCTTGCCTGAGGAGAAGCCCGATACCTCTGCATTACGTGTCGGAGACAAAGATATTGCAGATGTCTTCAGAAAAACGAAGCCCCTTCAGCTTGTGCATGAATTAGCAAAGATTACACATACTACAAAACACAAATGGTTTCCCAGAAGCAGAGACAAAAGAGCTAAAAAGACAGAACCTGACAGACCATACTTGTAATCTTTGAAAGACATTTCAAAAGTAGCTCTGAAAGAAAAGTTTAAATTTGCTCTAAACATGTAGTTATTTTTAAGGAAATTTATATCAATAAATGCTGTACAAAGATAACTTTTGTGTGTGTTACATTATCTGTATAAATGAACTGAATGAATTACTTGATGATTTATAATTTGGTTTATTTTTTCTTTAAACTTACATATATAATGTTGTACAAATTTTCTATTTAGAAAAAAAGAGGTAGAAATTAGAAATAATTACTCTTATCAATTGGTATTATATTACAATAAGTGATTCCGATATATATTAGACTGATACTTTTATGACACATGCTTTTTATATTAATAAAAATATATATATTTTATCAAGCGACATACTTAATATTGTCCATAAATATAATTATCAAAAACAATAATAATATAATTACATTCTACTACTGATACATTAACATTTATACATATATATTTGCTGCCATGTTTATATCACTGATTTGTAATCTAGCAAAATATTAAAATTGATTGATTTGTTATATTGTCCCTATCTTGCTATATTACAAATGTTGTGGAAAAAGTTGCCTTTCTCCTTCTTGCATAAAAATTTGCAAAGCTTTGTACAATAAATATCTACCAAATTTTCGTTTTTGTTGCATGCTCCATGTTGCTGCAATGCCATAATATTCGCCACTCTTGCAATTACCTAAATGTTCTCTCCCTATTGCATCTATCATGGCAGCCTCTCTTGTATATGCTTCCACTGGAATAACATTTTGAAAAACATGTAAACAGATCACGCCATGATCACTATTCCATATATCAAGAATGCAGTTGATTTTTTTGTTTGTAATAGTTGAACTGCCAACCCATGTTTTAAATGCATCATAAAGATGATCGAACGGTCTGGAACGTTTGCCTTTCCCAATGTAAAATATAGCGTTAAGGAAGATCGACCAGACTTCAGCTTCTGTCAGATGTACACTACGATTCGGTAGATCTTGTGTTATACGCGGATCTAATAGTAGATAAGTGAAAGACGTTTTTGATCTGCCCTCGCGCCACCTTCGAGATGGATCTGGCGATACAAATTCTTGGAATACATGCTTTTCTAGACTTTTGTAGGTATCCACATGATTTAACCAATCTCCAAACTCTAAATAAGACTTGATTTTGTCGCTCAGTTCAGCGTGATTTTGTGAGACGTTTCGCTGGTTTGGCATTGATGAAGTATTAGCGCCTCTGATGCTTTTTAAACGCATAAGACGTCTTTGGTAAAGCTTTCTAGTTGTATCAGTAATTGGACCAGGTTGATCACCAAGCTGTCTAAGCTCTCGTCTAAGAGTAGCATCATCAATGAATAGTAGCTCTTCTGGTAAATTTTGAGAACTGGATGTATCTAATAATAAAATAAAGAACATATTTTCTAATTGTCCTATTATCAATATTTTTATAGTTAATAATATATTGATGAAATTTTTGTTAGCTTACCAGATGTTATCATTTTGCTCTTGACATCACATTCATTGCCACTGAAGGTACTGAAAAATTGATAAGATTATATATATATGAGCTTGATAAGATTAAGATTGATAAACTTCATCTCTCATTTTTTACAAACAAAGTTGTAAACAAAGTGTTATGTAAATGATTTAACTTGATATAAATTATTATTAGAAGAAAGCTTAGAAAAAAATAAATATTGTAGTTGTAAACTCACCTAAATGGTGTGATGCAAAGCCGTCGTTCTAATAAAATTACACCTTCTTCTGGATCTTCATATTTATATTCTTGAGTGCTAACATATGAAAGCGTAGACCTGTAATTCACATTTTATTCAAGTAAGAAATTGTATAACTTTTGAAAAATACTGTTCTCAAAAAATAGTGTGCCATACTCACGAATTTTTTTCGATTTTGTACATATCTAAGCTTTTGACTCTCAGTATATTCTCCATCTTCTTGGAATCAGTATTATTTTCTAGTCTCGAGGAAGAGTATCTTTCAGAATCTAGTAAATATACCTGTTTTTTACACTGTATAGATGAGTTTACAGTTGGCAGTGAATTATTCTCTTTAATCATTTTTTGTGGCTCATGACATTCATTATTGCACCAATTTTTTGCATGTAAATTACAAGTCTTACTTATATTCATATCCAGATCTTCATTCAGTAATTTTTTGGTGTCACAGTCAACGCAATCTATACAATTTTCTCTATGCAACATATCAAATTCGGTTGTATAAGTAGATTTTATATTATTAGTGAAAGCGTCCGTCATTTTCGGTGCTTTATCAATTTTAAATCTATCTTTTCTGATTGTTACAAATTCGGTATTTATTTGATCATTTTCAAATTTCGTATGTTTCTTAAGATTATTAAAGTTGTTCACAAATTTGTTTTCCTTTTCCATTTGATTAAAGCTGTTGTCCTGAAGATTTGCCTGACTGTTATCAGGTGTTATAAGTAATAATCTATCCTCGTCGTATCTTCCCTCATCTAAGTTTGTTACCAAATAATTGTTGCAATGATTTTGCAAAAATCTCATTTTTGAGGATTTTTTAACATTTAATGATGCATAATCACTACTTGAATCTAGGATATCATAACGAGTATTTTCAGCTCCTTCGAAGATTGTTCTATTCAAATCAACTAGTTTTAATTCGTGACAAGCAGTAAATTCATCAGAAGTGACATCACTTTCATATTGATACGGATTAAGTCTTCTTTTCTTGGAACCGGAATGAAACTTGTATATCGATCTTTTCTTCCTTCTTGGCGTTGATTGTGCAACATGTTTTTTGTTCCAGTTAAATTCGGAACATTGCATTTGAGTTGCGAACTCACGAAACTTCTTGAATACATTCGTGGAAGAATGATTGTTGATGTGCGACGTTTTTTCTAGATTTCTCTTCTTAGTTGTACAATCTGGTGTTGTAAAATTAGGTGACTTACTAACGATGGAATCATTAATATACGACGGTGTTAATGGCGTTTTAGCAATATTTTTTCTCTGTCTATAATTAGGAGTATTAAAATTCGGCGACATACTAACGATAGAATTATTCAAAATATTACATGCTGTCACAGGAATTTCATTGGAATTTTTTTTGTGTTGTTTCCTAGAAGAACTTTGTGTACTATATTTCGAATATTGTCCTCTCACGTTAGGAGTATCGAGTTTTAAAATATTTTTGTTAGAAGTATGTTGTAGTTTAGATGGATAATTCTGTAAATTCTTGTAATATTTCCGTTTATGTGCACTTATATCCTTCTTTACTTCATCCGGCATATCAGAATCACTTTCCGCAATACTGCTTTTCTTGCACTTGTTCCTTTTGCGATTATGCAAAGTCTCGTTAATAGTACAATCGCTTGCTAATGATGTTGAAAAATGATTGATGATTTGACTAACAAGACACTTTTCTTTTTGCATGACATCAGAAAGATGCAAGTTTGCAAAGTCAAAATCAAGATTAATCAACGAGTGGTTTGGCACTTCTTTCTTATCAGTCCATGCAAGATTATTCTGCAGTTGAGCAGTTATAATATTAGTAGCTCTAGAGGAATATTCATCTAAATTGTTCAATAGTTTGTATTTAGTCTCTATAATATTATCTTCATTCAGTGTGTTATTCAAATTTACAATCATTGAGGAAGAGTTTGAATTAAAATCAGTAAGTATATTGTTCATTATTATATTATCCAAATTTGATACTATATCTTTTGACGCAACATATTCAGCAACAATGTCCCCATTAGTAATTAAAACCTTATCTAGAATATTAAGAATAAAAAGATAATAAATAATTCAATTTGATTATTCGAGAATTAAACTCTTAAAAAAAAGCTTACCGAGCACCATATTATACTTTGGCTTGTCATCCTCCTCTTGAATATTCTCACAGTGATTTGCAAGCATTGTCACAGCTTTGAAATACTTTCCGTCAAAGGCATAATGAAATGGACTGCGTCCATCATTGTCCAAATGCAATGGATCGCCACCATTTGTTAAAAGTAACTGTAATATATTTAATCTTCCCCAAGCTGCTGCCACATGAACCGGAGTCATTCCATCATTTGATCTGGAAATACATAAGTATTGCATTCACATAATTATAATATGGACTAGATTTATGATCATACCTCACATTGGGATTGCCACCATGACGTAAGAAAAGCTTGGTGACTTCTTCCGCAAATTCTTCTGAATCATTCCCAATGACCAAGTGAAATGGAGTAACCCCATGCATTGGAATTAAGACATTGGGATCTGCATCTTTATTTAACAGAAGGGTCGCCACTTGCCTGTGTACAAGAAAAATTTGTAGATTAATTTTTTAGGAAATCTATAAAATAATGTAATTCTAGATCTTTTTTGTCATCATATATTCTTGCCTTATGTTATTATCCTCAAGTCCATCGCAGAGGGATGAAGCTAAAAATAAGCCACCCTTTTTTTTCGGAGTCGCTAACATCCTCTTGCAGTCTGAAATAAATGCTACAATATGTATACTTGACAAAAATTTAGTTTATACACGTTTCACTGTAATAGTGACAAACCATGAATAATTTACGTAGCAAAACAATCGATATCAATTAGTTTTCCTTCCCAAATAAATATACATGATTAAACTTTGTATTTTAAATCTCAAAACTTTGACATTTAAACTATATTTCAATTTTTCATTTTATACTTTGACATTGAAACTTCGTATAAAACGTCAAAGTTCTCGAATTTAAATAAATCGTTTTCCTTTATCATCATTATCACACAATAAGTATAATACAAATTTTTTTTTTTTTTAGTTTAACGTGTCGTCAACCGGTTTACAGTTTGTCATTATATTGACACACTTCAATTCTTTTTGAACCTTGTCTCATATCATTGATTTCTTGTTAATGTTATGTTACTTGACCCCAGTCTGTTGTCAAAAAAAACTATTTATTGCTTTATATTATTTTTCCACTATTTTTCAAAGTATAATACAAATGTCCTGTGATAGGTTACTTTTTCATATACAGTTTATCTTTTGAAAATAGAACGTTTCTAAATAACGACGCTCCGATCGGCCAATCGGAATCAAGCGAGCGAAGCTCCCTCGCTCCCGATTGGTCGGCGGCCGAAACGTCACGAGCGCGCATGCGCGGACGAATCGGCGCGCCGAGCGGAGCCGAGAGAGGCCGAGTGGCGCCGAGGCGGGCGGAGGCGACGACGGAGACGCCATTTTGTTCGCTGCGTTCCGAAGAACGAGGCGTAGTCGTTTTCGGAAGAGAAAATAAAATCCGCGGTATTTCCTGGCCAGGCTGCTTCCGCTGTCGCACGCGTCTCTCCTCCTCCCCCGTCTCCCCCGCGCCTTTCTTTCTTTTTTCTTGTTCCTCGTTGAGTTCCGGCGCAGCAAGCAGCGTTGATGATTGGGATTCCGCGGGACGATCGACATAAAATCACGGTCAAGATCCGCAACAACATGAAGAGGAGCTCGAGTCGCGACACTCCGCCTCCTCGTGTCAAGCGGAGCCGATCCTCGATGGGACGGTAAGGAACCTGGGGAAGTTTCGCCGAAGTTCGCGCATCTTTCTGCGATTCGTTTACTTGCGACACGAATTTGCACGCATTTCCTCCTAATACGCCTTTATTTATTTATTTTTTTTTTCTTTCCTTGAGCTCGTTTCCTCTCCCTCCCATTACTCCCTCTCGTGATAAGATCGTTGAACTGTGAATCAATCAATGGTGATGATGTGTGGTCACATTTTTTCCTTCGGGCCTTCATTCCTGTGTATATGTGTGATGATTCATTAGTGTGTGTGAAATGTAGTTGGACAACAATTATTTATCTGTATAGATAATTAAGCATGTGAAGAGAGATAAGATATTTCTGTAATCTTGTTTTTTTTTTTTTAGTTCCCCAGTAAGCAAGAAATATTTAATCAGCATTTTATCATGTTGATTTTATATAAATTTTCCAAACGTTATGATATAATGTTGTATAAATATGTTTAAAATATTATTAATAAATATTCTAAAAAAATATTTTAATTGATGTTTTATAAATGTTTTAAAAATATTATTTAATAACATATTGCTCTCATAATATTAATAAAATATTTTAAAAACGTTAATTTCAACATTACCGAAACCTCTAAATCGATGTCAAAGTTTGTTCATAATGATGTTGCATACAATGTTAAAAACTATACTTGACAACAATAATAACGTTGTAGCAATGATTTTTTGCTTACTGGGTAGTGATAACTCGGAAGATTTTATTGAAATTTTTTGCTACACAAGGCCATTCTGCAACATCTAATATTTCTCTACCTATCAGAACTTATACTATGTTTTTGCTACTTGTAAATGTATTTTTTATTCTGTTTATTAGAATTATTATGGAAATTAATGCAAATCTAGCTTGAGGATGTATGGGAGACATCTAAAAATGGTACAAAATCATGAAAATTGTCTAGTTTTCATTTTGATACTGAAGTTACTGGTTAAAAGAAACTATTTTGGCTTTAATTTACTAACTTATTTAAAAATATTGCAATTTAAATTTCTGTTAGTTTTACACATCTTATGAAAATTTATTACTATGATTGATATATTACATTTGAATTGTAGAAAAGATTGTATCATATTTCAAATTTTTTACATGGAACTTTAAAAAACAATGTTGCAAAATTACATTAACATTTACAGAACGTTTAAAAGAAAATAACCATAATTTGTTAAAATTATGACTTTCTCCGATTACTGAGCATCTGGTTGTGTCAACGCTGAAAACAGCTGAAAGTTAGGACATTAAATTGTAGTAATTTTCTATAAGAAGTCTGTTCATTTTAGTTGAACTGGCTGCACTAGTTCAATATAGTCGAGTTTATCTTCTTTCTTCTAATGCGAGTAAAAAAGATGAACTTTAAACTAACGCAGTCACTAACCAATAGTTGAACTAGCTAAACTAATCAGTTTAGTTACAACAAACAAATCTAAGATGTACAGATTTTCTACAAGATGAATGAAAGATTTTACAAGAGTTTGTCTGATTAATATTAATAAAAAGTATTAATCGATCATAATAAGATGTAAAATATGTGCGATTAATTTTACTAAAATATATAGTAAAATTTCATTAATTTCAAAATGTATTAAGAACTACGTGAAAAACTTATGATTCTTTAAGTGGTCTAAATGTACAGAGATAATTTTTTCTTAGAATTTATTCTGAAAATTATGGTAATCAAGGGACAATATGATATTGGAAGAATTTTATAAGAGTTTCTCTGATTAATAAATTAATTCTCTGATTATAATAAGATATAAAATATGTGCGATTACTGAATTTTACTGTATACATATTAATATTTTTTATTTTGTGGTAAATATTAATTAGAAATTCTTATCAAAAATTCTTGCAGTACCATATTGCCCTACGATTACCATGATTTTCAAGGTAAATTCTAAGAGAAAATTCTCTCTGTGTAGCATTGGTACTTATCATATCTCCCATACATCCTCAAGCACATTGTATACCTTAACATTGATTAATTTGTATATTTTGCGATCTCTAGGTATGAGGATTCCAGCGACGAACGTATCACTCCGGAGAGAATTCGAAGGCGAAGCCGGGGCGCAAGGAGTCCGAGTCCGCCTACCCGAGCCTCCTCTCACGCGCGCTATGTCGAGTCCAGCTCGCATCGCGACGAGTATCTGCGCGCGCCGCGCGATGTGCCGCGAGAACGACCCTACAGCTACAAGGTTCTCTGCGTCAGCTCCATCCATCCGAAAGCCAGCGACGAGATGATCAAGGATACCCTGTACAGGGAGTACAAGAAGTTCGGCGACCACTCCATTCAGATCTCGCACGAGCCGGACGAGCGCGTCGCTTACGTCTGTTTCAGGAGCTCGGAAGACGCTCGGGACGCGAAGCACGCGAAGCCCCGCATCATCATCTACGACAAGATGGCCATAGTGGAGCCAATGTACGACAGAGCCGAGAGCTATCGTCGTCCGCGATCCATCACGCCGCCGGATTACGAGAGATACTACGGACAGGCCCGGTCGCCCGGACCCACGGACAGGCACAGACCGCTGGAGAGATACGACCGGGTGTACGGGCCGCCGGTGAACCTGCCTCCGCATCGGGAGATGCGTCGCGAGACCATTCCGCCGCCGCATCACGAATTCGTCCGGCCTCCGATACATCCTCACGGACCGCCGCACGTTCATCCGCCGCCTCATCACTACGGTCCACCGCGACACATGATAATACGCCATCCCGGCCACGGATTCGAGCGCGTGGAAAACAAGAAGGACAAGTTCCCCAATTATCTGCACCACGTGTCGCCCGAGGACGACCCCCTCGCGACTCGAACCTTGTTCGCCGGTAATCTGGAGATTAATATCACGGAGGAAGAGTTGCGTCGTATCTTTAGCAAGTACGGGATTGTCGACGACATCGATATTAAGCGTCCGCCACCGGGCACTGGAAACGCTTACGCATTTGTACGCTTCCAGACACTAGACATGGCACACCGGTGCAAGGTCGAACTGTCCGGTCAGTACATTGGTAAATTTCAGTGCAAGATTGGTTACGGCAAGGCCACTCCGACGACTCGGATATGGGTGGGCGGACTGGGACCGTGGACCTCAGTGCCGCAGTTAGAGCGCGAGTTTGATCGGTTCGGTGCAATCAAGAAAATCGACTACATCAAGGGTGACAGTAATGCTTACATACTCTACGATTCAATCGACGCTGCTCAAGCAGCAGTCAAGGAAATGCGCGGTTTCCCGCTCGGAGGACCGGATCGTCGGCTGAGAGTGGACTTTGCTGACGTGACGCCTGGTTTTGGCTTCAAACCCAGACCGTATCCCGAGGAGAACAGCGACTTCAGGCCTCGTCCGGTCGATTACGAGTCTCCCTATGGGGATCCATACGGACCCGAGGGAGAGTTCAGTTATGGACCAAGAGGTTTCCGAGGTGGCAGAGGTAATGCAACGTGGCACGACCGAAGAGGAAATACTCGTGGTGGCTACAGAGGCTCTTATCCCGAGGGTTACATGCGCGACGAGGCCGACTGGCCAAGCAGAAGACCACCGCCCGAACTTGAGTACGAAGCGCCACGTGGTCTGCGAAGATCTCTGTCGCGGGAACCAGGAGTGGACAGATCCAGATCGCGTTCTCCACGCAGACGACAGATGGATTCGGACTCGGATTCCGAGAACACTCGCAGTGGGATGTTATCGACCTCTCGTACGTTGCCGGACGTCGCTCGCAAATCTATCGCCGTCTGGCAAGGCGCGTTGATACTGAAGAACTCGCTGTTCCCGGCCAAGTTCCATCTGACCGATGGCGAGACAGAGATCATCGACTCGCTCATGAAGGACGAGGAGGGTAAGCACATGTTGCGGATAACACAACGGTTGCGCCTCGATCAACCCAAGTTGGACGATGTGTCTAAGCGAATCCAGACGTCCAGCTCGCATGCAATCTTTCTTGGTCTAGCCGGTTCGAGCACCGCGATCACGAATGATGATGCCAACGTGCAAACGCGGCCGCTGCGCAACCTCGTCTCTTATTTGAAGCAGAAGGAGGCGGCTGGTGTGATATCACTGTTGAACAAGGACACAGAGGGCACCGGTGTTCTCTACGCCTTCCCGCCTTGCGCATTTTCGACGGAACTTTTGAAACGCACGTGCCCTAGTTTAAGCGAGGAGAGTCTTAAAGAGGATCATTTGGTAATCGTAGTGGTTAAGGGAGGTAGCGCCTAAAGAGAAACCTTTAGTATCTCTCGTCTTGTGTGCGTATGATTTTATATCTCGTAAGTGCAAAGATTCTCTTTAAGGCTTCTGGATTCTAGACGTGGTCATCTTAGATTAAGTGACATTAGAGTGGGGATAGCGCTGAAAATTCTTGGATGCCATTTTTAAATGCAAAGATTTTCGATGAAGCACTATTTTAGATAGCACACTTTTAAAATACTTTGAAAACTATTCTTTTCCTTCGATAGTCGATCAACAACTGTAAAATGATTATGATTATCAGACTGTCATGTGGAATGACTGCGCATGTGCAAGACTATATACGGATCAGGTTTTAAGTCACAGTTTTATGTTATTTTATAGCTGTTGATTGATTATAGAGGGAAAATAATAGCTTTCGAGATATTTTAAAAGTGTACTAAAGTCATCTGAAGTGCCTTTTCATCAAAGTATCTTTTTATTGCAAAATGCCATCCAAGAATTTATAGTGTGTATTTTCTCGCCTCCGACATCATAATTCCAACATGATCGACGAGGAACCAGGGGTCTTAAGCAGTGTACAGAGTGTGAAAGAATTTAGGAGAACTTGTGTTTTTGATCGATGTAAGTATTTTGCTTTTTAACGATGCTTCCACAGATGCGACGAGATTTGATCTTATATAATTATAGATTAGGAGAGCTATTGATAATATTTGAGATGATAATATTTGATACTTTACTTTACACACGAATGTATATTGCATTGACTTGAGATGTCGAGAATATCAACTTTATTTCAGAATTAGATGTATGATGAAGATTCGCGACGTTTGACATTTGATTTAATTGAATTTACTCTAGTGAATTTATTCTAGTACTTAGGATTTATACAGACTTCTACATGTTGTATAAATTTCATATTATCTTGATGAGATTACTTGGGTAAATTCTTGAAGGTAAAAATTTAACTGCGCGGATTTTCATCACTCGTTTTCATGAGATCTCTTCATTCTTGTAGTTATTAATTAAGCTTAACGCTAGATGAGTAATTTTAAAATATATTACCGGAGAATATTATTTTTTTTGTACAATATAATCTTACATGATTTATACGATATACTTTTTCAGAAGAATGACTACTTTTCCATGAATGTGTATATTGTCGACATTAACCGCTAATACAAAAGCTAAGAGATTAGAATACTTATTTTCTATCAAAAAACACAATTTTGGTACTGTTCCCCATTATTCTAGTTGACCATCTATCAGATAATAGCGATTACTAGTGGAACAATTTTTATCAAGATCATTATTCATTATATTGAATCTTATTAGGAACAGTGTAATCCTTATTACAAATATGTGTGTGATTACTTCGAAATGTAGTATAAGAATTTATTTGTATTATACACAATTACAATATATATATATATATATATATATATATATATATATATATACATATATTACACACACACACACACATATATATATATATATATATATACTAATATGATTATACGTATATATTGTGCACCGTTCTTTCACATTTGCAGATATGCATATTATTATTTCAATGTAATTGCTTAAATTTTTGTTGCAAATTGCAGAATGAATATCTTTCAAAGATACGTGTGTGCATATCAAAGTAACTAAACATGCACTTATTCTGCTTATAATGAAAAAAAGATTTTTTTGTATGATTGTAGATTTTAACAATATTAAGTCAAATATTTACACGTTTCATCGACAAAGCTGTACGCTTCTAAATAATACTTTTGTTAGAAAAATTATGTGGACAACATTCACGAAGAGTGCACTTTAATATATGGCAAATACATTCAATAGCTTTATAATAATGAAAGGACACTATGTGTCAAATGAGAATATAATTTGCAAAAATCTTTAAAAATGTGAAAGGTCTGGTTTAGAGAGTATATTTGATATGAAAAACATGTATAATTAAGCGTTCAATACTTCTGTAGATTTATCTTTAGTGTGACGTAACATATAGTAAGTGATAGTGCAGTAAATAATCCGTGAATAGTTATGACCAGTTTCTCAAGTTTGGACTGTGCCGAGAAGTGAAGACAGTGAGGAAAAAAGGAGCAAATCCAGGAAGAGACAGAAATCTGTTAATCGTAAAGCAAAGTTTATTCCTATCTGTGTTTCCATAATGTCACCGAGAGTTTATTTCTTTCCAAGTGAGGACTGATTTTTTTAAAGGACAGTGTTTGGTTCGTGGTATAAAAAAAAAGCGCTATAAACATGTGTACAGTGAAATGTAAAAGAAAAAAAAGAAAAATAGTGATTGTGTTCCACATTCAAGTATGAGAAGCGTTTTGTGCGAATACATATCTGGAATATATATTTCTATATTTATTCCAGAGATGGAAAAGAAAGATGATCTTCCTCATACTTGGATGTGACTGAAGGTGCAGTGGTTAAGAGTATAACTTAGTGTTTGAAACGGAAAAATAGATGCAGTTTATGTAGAGAAAAATTACAAAATGTGTCAATTTTCTTAGCACCGTTTTTCTTCACCTTAATAATTAAAAAAAAGAAAAAGAAAGAAAAGGAAAAATCGAAACTTCTCAGGAACTCAATATTCACAGTGATACGTTTTCTAATGAATGTTGCTATTCGCGAGGAAAGTAAAAAGGAATTAGACAAATTCTAGGGCCGTTAAAAAAATATCGAATGTTCAATGCTGTAAATCTTCGATTATAAAAGAATGCATGCACGTGGCCGACAAATTAAGTAGACTATTTTTGATTCTCAAGAGAGTTTTTTTGTACTCGGTATGTAGAAATTTAGTTTTTCTTGCTTTTTTGTTAAGTGAAGTTTATCGTGCAACAATATAGTGCTGTGATAATACATTTGAGCAACGGTTTAGACAATCGCGAGAATGTAGATTGTAGATTTCAAGTGCTTGTGTTGCCTGAGAATGATTTTCCTTCTTCGTTTGCGAAGGGAGGAGGAAGGAAGGAAAGAAGGCTGTCCTATCATTTGTATCTATTGTTGGCCGTAATGAAAAAAGAAAAAGAGATTGCCACTGTGACATTAGTGACATTTCTTGTGGTTTGTGAAAGAGAGAACAGCAGTTAAAGTCGCGAATTAACTTTCTAAACGCTCTTATTCGAAATTCTTGTTTAAAGAGGAAACTAAAAGTAGCTGTGCGTCTGAAAGAAAAAATAGTAGAGGCAGAGGAAAAAGTAGAGAAGGAAAACTGTAGGAAAAACAAAGTGGTTTTTCATTGTTTCTGGCAAAAATTCTTTCAATCTTGTGTGCGGGTAGATCAAAAGTGAGTTCTATCAGTGGGAAAACTCCTGGTTTCGATTTGCATCAGTGTTGTGCTGCTTTGCTCCTTTCCTGCAGATTTTCCATCCTTATCCCATCCTATTCACCGAGTTTCATTGTGACCTCTTCTGGTATCGCTTTGTAAAATTGTGAAATCTGTTTCAGAGAGAATCGAGGCCAAAGGAAGACATCAGATTGCTGTATTTTTAAATTTGCAAAAATAAATTACGCAGACACGGTCACTTGAGACAATATTATGCTCGTCTTTCTTTCGCGAGTGTTTTTACACGAATCTCGACTTTACATCGCAATCTTTAATATGTATATATATATATATATATATATATATATATATATATATATATATATATATATATTTAAAATTAAAGATATTAAAGATATAAAAATATATATAATAAATATATATATATATATATATATATATATATTTCTTTATATTATATATATATATATATTTATTATATATTTTTTTTCCTTTTGCAGTAAAAAATATATGCTCATTAATTTTTTCATCGATTCTTTCGTAGAACCTTGAAATTGCAAAAAGTTTCTTGTGACATAACCTATTCTAATTTAACCTATAACATAATTTGTACAAGATAAAATACGTGAACGTTTTAATTACGAGATATGCAAATGTGCTTGTACACTTTTATAATTATGCAGTTCTATATTAAATATTGATTTTTATTGATCGAGGTAACAAAATAATTTAAATTACTTGACATAACCTATAAAGGCAGAAAAGATATTTAGAGGATAAAAAAATACTTTTTTTATAAAAAACAAAAATTAGATTTATTTCTAATTACGGTTTTCCTTTAATTTATTTTTTATTTTGCGAAAGTATATATATATATATATATATATATATATATATGCACATATCCACTTTAAGTACAGAAAGTGTAGGCAAGTGCACATAAAGAGAACAGCTGATTTAGCATCACGTGTCCATAATTTAATTAAAATTTAAGCAAAAAATTTTAAGACATCTTCCTATGATACTACAATAAATTGAAACATTCATTTTTCTCATAGCAAAAAAATCTCATAATTCAACAGTTAAATGCAAAAGACACGTGCGAGAAATATTTCAATTTTTTCAAAGAAAAAAAATGTGTAAACGATATTTGTATTTTAGACATTTTATTGGACAGTGTATATTTTATTTTTAGTTTTCACAATTTTTTTCATAGATTAAATTAACCATCGCTAAATCTCTGTGATTGAAAATAATTGAAGCTTTTATCTCTTTATTAAAAAAAAAAAAAAAAAAAAAAAGAAAAGGATCGCTTCCCAGGTAGCAAGCTGACGTTATTAAACGCCATGACGTCATTTTGGCGTTTAATGACGTCAGTTTGCTACCTGGGTTTCTTTAAATCTTAATAATAACAATGTAATATCGGCGTGCAATTCTATTATAATAACGGGAAGAGACGCAGATCGTGTAAATGGGGAATTACGCGTGTGTAGAAGAAATTATGCAGCCTTTTTCTGCGATACGTAACAAAAATACACACTTTCGGCAAACTTGCCTTGAACATCGATCGTGCGAGATTATTCGTCGAGAAGAGTAAAGCTATAATATATAATTGGCTGATTTTCTTTTATTTTATATAATATATAATTTATCGCTCCCGTCTGTGTAATATTATTTATAATACGCACATAACGAATCTTTGAATATTTCTGACGCGAAACTCATGCTTAATCTATGAAAAATCTAGTTTTTCTGAACCATAAAAAATGCAGAAGGAAATTATGAATGGTTTCCTCATCGCAATCGAATATTCTATTATCCTTATTAGTGTGCTCTCCAGTCTTACGAGGGTATGTTCCAGTCTATCTTTTTACTTCGGAGCATTTAATTAGCAAAGAGAATTAATATGAGAATTTTAATTAGCAACAAATATGTATCTAATATTAAAGACTTAAAAAAAAAAAATTCACATAAAAACTCATAAATTAAAAATAATATCAAAAAATACAATTGATCAAAAGTTGACAAAGAATTGAAAAGTAAGTATACTGTATATTAATTTGTAAAGACGCGTGTAACGGATTTAACTATGTTAATTATATAGAGATGTTCAGTCTCCTCGGAGTGTTGAATATGGAAGGCCGTGTTTGGTTCGAAGAAAACCTTATACGAGAATACTCCTTCGGTATATTACGCTCACAAAATTCGAACGTTCCCTGCTTTCTAGAAATACGAATATCAATGGGTAGAATACGACGACAAGACGACGATTCGCGATTAGATATATTAGTTATTAACGTTTAGTTGGTTTGCGCTTCTCAGTTAACGATGCAAATATATATTATAATACAATAATTTTTGACACTCTGCATTTGGCGCAGCCACCAAGAATTTACGAAGAAATTTTAACATTCTAATACATTTTCTTGCACTTCCGTCGTAGAGAGAGAAATATATTAATATACATATATATATATATGTGTGTAGTACTGAAGTAAAATTTAAATCTCGCGCAATGTGTGTGAATTTTATTCTCGATTTCTAGGTTCCTTCTCCCTTTTATACATAAACATTGAACATTTGTCTGATACATTTCCTCGCCTTCGTTTTCTCCACTTGTCCGACTTCTCTTTTAACTCATTCGTTCGCATTGCCTAATAGATGAATAGATCTACATCTAGTCTCATGCTAATTCACGAACGCGCGCGCGAAACTATATCGTCTCATATACATATATGTATGTATATATATATATATATATATATATTTTTTTTTTTTTAATCAGTCGTCGAAACCAAGCCTGAGGGTAATTTGATTCGATACTACGATTGTTTAATGATTCAGTCGTAGCGTTATTACGGGCGCATCGCTCGTATTACACGCAAAAGGAGCTTAAAATCGTAACATTACAATATTAAGCGAGGTAAGAGCGACAAGAGCGCGCTGAAGCTTCTCTTTTTTCTTTATTTTTCGCGATCGAGCTCAGAGTAACAAATCTAATCGAATCTTCGAATTTGTTTATATAGCACAGGATATATTTCGGATTGAGTCACGGATGACTCTGATATGTTTTGCATATGTATCTCTTAGAATTCGTACTTGATAACGAACAAACTTTGTCGCAAATTTCTAAAGTATCTTGAGAATTTATTGTAACTTACATCTATTTCGGGATATTTAGATAAGAATTTAGAAAGAAAAAAATTTGTTTCTCTTTTTTTAATGAACCGATGTCTCTCTTCAGCGCGTCTCTTGCGACTCGAAGAGCCTCTCTCTCTCTCTCTCTCTTTCTCTGAGCACCGTGTTTCTTAGAATGAATAAATCCGCCATCTGCTTCTTTTTTCTCCTGCGAGAAAAAGGGAGAATAGTTGAGAAGGAGCGACAGCGGGGGCCGTTCATCGAAAGAGCGCCGGTCCTCCCGGAAACGTCAACTACTGATTTTCCCTTTCCCGATAGAATTCTTGTCTGAGAGATTCCTCGCTTCTTCGCGCGCCTCTAGACAACTCCAGGATTATTTTAGTAGACAACGCGATGGGGATATTGATAACTTCGCGGTTGGGAACTCAATTGCAGCTGAGCCGTGGAGTACGGATCGTAGCTCTGAAAATTAAAAAAAGGAATATATATACGTTTTTGTACACATATATATACATAATTTCTACTTTCATCCTCTAATTGCATCTTTAAATTTTTCATTATTATTTTTAAGACTCCTGGCTTCTCACTAATCATGTTGGAACTGATATGTCAGAGATCAGGTAAAAAATATTTTGATGGAACATTGATTATAACGGGAAAATATAGTTTTTAAACTATTTTAAAAGGGTGCTAAAATCATCTAAGTACTATTTCATCGAAATATCTTTTTATTTCTACGAGCTTTCTCGCGTTTGACGTCACAATCTAATATGACCGCAGTGAAGATCCAGGAGCCTAAATTATCCTTCGAAGACTACAATTGTCAAGGCCAACTCACCTGCGTTCGCTTTTTAGACACCATGAATCTCTTTTCGTGAGGATAGTAGGCACGCTGAGGGTAAACGAAGCCGTACTGTGAATTACCATATTGAGGATTGCCGTACTGCGCGGTGCCTTCGTACTGCTGTTCCAATTGATCGTAATAGTTGGGTGGGTGAGTTCGGACTATTCCGATGTCGGAGGGCGACAACGTCTCGTAGTGCCGAGATGAGGGATACACCGCTTCTAACCATGGAAGAGCTAAAAGGAAATCTTGATAAAAATAGGAATCACGTTTAGTAAAGAAATTATTACATTATATTCATTTTATATATTATGCTTTCATTTGAATATATTATATAGATATACAGGGTGTCCCTTTTATATGATTATTAGCACAGTTTCATTACTTTTTATCAATAAAATAAACTGGTATACAAACATTTTATTTATATCCATTAAACACTGTAGGCTTTCCTCTTTTCAACACAATTTTTGTTTTCTCAATAACTGCATGCATTAAAAAATGACAGCTGATTAGTGTCAGCAATTTCCTGTATATTGGACACTCTGTATGTTGGTATCTTAATTATAGGCAATGAAAAGAAGAGATGTCAAAACGAACCATTCCTAGCGTCTTCCTCGTCGAGGAAACTGTTGTCATCCATCATATTCTCGTATTCTTCTTTAGCATAGTTGCGCCAGTTTCTGTTCGAACATGGAACAAAAATGGAATCAATATCAAGTGCGTGTGTATTTATAGAAAGTGGTGTTAAAAAAAGAATGCACGCTCTCTCGGCTCATTACCCGTTACGCCGTTCATTCTCCCATAGTGACAGAAGGGTCAATACGTCCTCAGGATCAATGTCCAAGGGTAGGTCTCGTTTGAACCGTGGTTCCTGGTAGAACGGGATGCTGAAAATTTAAACAAGATCAATGTTTCTGTTGCCGACACGATATCCCAGCAAATTTGTTATTTAAGGACTTAAAAATAAGAATCTAAAAATATGTAATCCGAGGCTGAAAAGTTTAAAATCTTCATCGCTGGACAACTTTCGATTTCGGATGTTGTATATCGTGCATTAAATACAGTGTTTGCTGTTATCTAAATAAAATTATATAGATGATCATCTAGATAAAACTTCAGCGTCATCTTATCTTTATTCTTTATATAGATAATAAAAATATGTATTATCTAAATCTACATCTTAGATAAAAAAAGTATTATCTTTACTAAATTATCTAGAATAATTTTCAGATAACTTAGAATTATAGCACATAAAAATACTTAAATAGTAGGACTTGAGTAGTAAGCGATAAAAACTTATAAATAATAGTATGAACATATCTTATCATTTTTTTCAACATTTTTTTTACTGTGTTTATATAAGCGGTTTCAAAAATAACATCTGAAAGAGTTATCTAGATAAATCGCCATATAATTTTCTCTTTTATATATACCTATACATTTAATACATTTGAAATAAAATCATTTTCATATCTTATCTAACAACAAGACGAATATTTTCAGCTCATTCTTATCTAGCTAATTTTAAATCATCTAAGCACAATATATCGAGGAGGAATTGATCGGTGGAACGAAATTACAAGACCTGTCATCGCTTTTCCGCGATGTTTGTTTCGCCTCTCGCAATCTCCTTTCGGAATCGCTTTGTGAATTCATTATTCTCGCTCTGTCCCGCGCAACACGTTTATATTTCAAGCTTGATCGATGCTTATCCATGACGCAAAGCTACCGGGCGACGATATATATTCCCCTATATATATTGTTCTCCGGCACGAATGCGATGCTTTATCTCGCCGTCGCGAACTATCCTTTGTAGACGCGATAGGTGTATTCAAACTTCTTTTATCCGACACAATGGCGAGCGCGCGGACAATACGCGCCGTCTTGGTCATGTGCGAAACAATTGTCGCCTCCTGTCGATCGACGCAACCCATCACACGTTGTCCTCCACGTCCGATGATTACATCGCATTCACAGCCGGATGAAATGATCGATCCGACACCTGGCAGGGTTTAACGCCATCAGCTGATTGGTTGGCCCTGGGCCAAAGCTCGTAGAATACTTTCATTCAGCTCTTTGGTGTTTATCAACACGTAGTAAGGCTTCGGCTGATTATACGCTTGGTCTTACTACTGCGACGCATGATCCGTTCGTATATAATGTAGCTTTGCATCTAGAAATTTTTATCACAACAGTTAGTTTTGCATTTTGCGAGAAAAATGTGCTGCGTTTGATGTAAAATCCACCCAAATAGCGAGTGACGTCATTTTGATGTTTAATGACGTCATTTGCTGCTTGGGTGTATTTATATTGAAAAATAGAGAAGAAATATGCCTTTCCAGAGATGTTATAGAAGAAGGCGAGGCTTTCTCTTCTTAATACTTGTACAATTATTAAAACGAATATGTTTTCATCACTTTTTTACATAATCTATCATTTATTTTCTCTCTCTAAATTCACAGAATTTGCATTCGATGAAACACTTGCGCATAAATAATCCTCGAACGAGGACGGGGCTGTTGTTTAATGCATCGGGTGGATTATATTACATCACGGGTGGAAACCAAAAATTAAAAAAAATCGGCGGAAAGCTCCGCAGCCGGAAGTATCGTCGATAAACTCGGAGCGCGCTCCGAGTCAGCTGATTGGTTGGAGATACGCCAAACAATCAAGCTGTGACCTACTTTCGCCTTCCCGGCTCCATTCAGCTTTTCGTGGGCCCACTCCCTCAGATAGTTCCACCACCAGCACCACCGCCTCCGCCTTCTTCATCGCCACCACCACCACCCCTATCACCTGCGTCACGCATATCGAGCGATTCGTGCACTGCACCAAATTCTTCTCCGTTTGCGTGGTTGTGTGTGTATGCGTTTATATTCATGTACTCGGCTAAATATCTATTTGTGCTATATGTGCTTTAGATTTTGCATGCTAGAATTATCTCCCTTTATGAGGACACGGTCCAAGAGTCAAGAATAATTTGCAGGAACAATGGAGGGTTTTTTTTTTACATATAACAGGATTTTTGTTTTAATTCCAACAAAATGTTTGACCTTTTTCATTCTAGTTTTTCATTTTTTGACCACTTTGGAGTGGAATATTTTTTTAACCGTGAAATCCGAATAGCACTTTACAAATAATTACAGAGGGTGTGTATTCAAATTTTGTAAAAAAAACCTGAGAACTCTCTCTAATTTTTTAAAATTCCAAGTCACTTGAGAAAATTTGTAAATGCAGATTTTTAATATAAGTTTCTTGATTGTATACGCTTTCTAATGCAAAGTTATCAAGAGTACAGCTCTCTAGCATTTAATATTAATTTATTAATTATAAAATTAATTTAGACAATAATAAATATATATATCACCATATCTAAACGCTAAAAATATATGCAAAAATATAAAATAAAAATATTACCTATTAAAAAATTGAACAATTTTCTATGAAACTTATATAAGATCTTGATATTAAAAACAGATGTAAAATAAAAAAATGCACAAAATTTTAATAAAAACTTAAATATTGCAATAATATTTCTTAAGTGCTAAATAAAATGATCAAAGGGGCAATTTAAAAAAAAAACTCCCTGAATGCCAATTAAAATCCATGAGAATTCCCTGAGAATACCAAGTTTCCAAGATTTCCCCCAGGAGTATACAATCTAAATTAATAGAATATAATTAACAGAGAATATCTCTGGAGAATCTTAATAGGAGGGATTTAATATGGTAATATATTCGGAATCAATCGTAACGCAAAGATTATAAACTGTAAACGGAATTTATATGCAATATCGGGGAGATAAGAAATTTATCGCGAATATTCTCATAAAAATATTCAAAGAGCTTTTAACGGGGCGCTCGAGCGCTTCTATTATTACAACAGGTTCCAGGATGGTTTAAGGATAACGCGTGTTACGTAAGCGTGTCGAGCATATAATGGAAACGGTGGGGTGTGCGCGCGATTATCGTGTTATAAGAATTTCATCGTGGAAAAATTAATCGTCCCCGGCCGAAGCGACCTGTGACATTTTGCGACGGTCACATCGGGCAGGTGCATTCTTGTACAATTTTTCGTGTAAAAATAACGTCGGCAACGGCTAAGTTTAAGACGATAATAATGTCCGCGCTCGATGAAAGTCTCGTGTGTGCGTTTAATTTTAAACACGGCCGGCCTAAGGCAATTCCGTGCGAAGCGCGAGAGGCCCGTCCGCTTTTACGACTCCGATATCGAGCGCGTTCGTTCGTGTTCACGCGATTTCCTCAAATTAGATTCGCCTCTCGATAAATCCGCACTGCACTTTCCGAGAAGGTATTTTTATCTCACGACCACGCACGATAATACATCAACGAACGTAACGTCGCGTTATTATATCAAGCGTCATGAAAAAAATGAGCGATATGTCAAGGATGTTATAATCAATTAATTCATCTATATCCTTTATAATTTTACCCGGGGTAATCGCTTCTATTCATCGGTAGATCGCGATCCGTTCAGACGTCCCCTGGACATCATCTGGATGTCCTCCGAATGTCCTTGACGTCTTCCGCGAGATCCTGTGCAGAAGGATTTCCAGTTTGCCCGTACTTTGGAAGGGCACCCAGTTGAACATACGCTACTGATACGTTTCCCGATGACGACAGCCTCTCTCTGCAAGTGGTTCGATATGACTTCGGTCGTCAAGTCGACCGCCGCCGTCCCTGCGCCAGGGGGCAACGCCCTCACGAGCCCTCTCATCCCCCATTCAGAAGAAACGCCGGAGGAAAAGAGGGATGCTTGGTGGGCGGAAAGGGTGGAAAGGGCGCGCATGATGATGCACAACCGCCGCCGCCGCCGCCGTCGAGTCGATCCGTTCTTTACGTGGAAAAGCTCTCCAAGTTTCGCTCTTGATTCTCAACTCCACGGTGTGCAATTTAGAATATTAAAAAGTGGACGAAGGAAATTGCGTCCTCGATTTCCGATTGTTTCATCCTGTTTCTCAACAACAATGTCATTTTTCAATTCCTCTTCGAATAATTTCTCGCTTCTGTCTGGTAAACAGGAACCACGAGCCTCGTTATCTGCGTGTGCCTTTCCAGAAAATTTCGTTACCTATCGCACTCTAATAGCGGTTGCTCCCGAGGAGAGTATCGATCACGCCGGTTATCGATTTCGGAATTAGGAGAAGTAGGACGCGGCCACTTACCTTCTCTTAACTTGAGCCTGCACCGGTTGCTGGGTAGATACGAGACGTCTCACGATTTGGCCCGGTTTCGCCCACTCGTACGTGCTGGTCGGAGGCTGCAACGTCGTGATGCTGCTGCTCGGCTGCGCGCTCGCAGTGGACTTTTCCGATCTCTTGCGCCGATCCTCGCCCGTGTAGTACCGAGAATACGGCGGAATGTCCCATACCCGCGGTCCGTCCTCCTCGACCTCGTTCATGAGGACCTTACCGTAGCTGAAGGACAAGTATTACATTCATTAATTGACAATTCATTAGTTGGATTAAGGGTTTCAACCGAGAGAGATTATACAAAATTATAATAAAATGCTTAATTACATAGAAAATTAATATAACAAAATATATTGTACGACTTGACGTATTTAAATATTCATTATATAGAATATTATATATAATGTATAATAAAATATTATATTATATATAATAAAATACTTATTATATTATACGACTTGGTATATTAAAATTTTATTTGATAGAAGAGGCTTACTCGTAATTCTTGTCGTACGGCGAGTAAGTCTCGTGCTCGTACATGGAGTTGCTAGGAGATTTGGGCTGGGATGGTTTATCGTCTTCGGCGAGAGCCGCTTTCAAGCCTCCCAGTCCCGAGGAAGCAAGGGTTCCTAAAGTCCGTAAAAATGGGTTTCAGAATAGTCATGCAATATTTATCATCGCGGCGCTTTTATTTCCAACGATGCACTCACGTTTCTCCGTATTTGTCGTGAAAGATTCAGCGGCGGCAGCGGCAGCTGCAGCATTGGCCTGTCGGTTCTGCTGATTACCGAACATCAGCGTCTCCTGAGTTCGTTTTGCTGAAAATGATGCAGTGCAACGTTTAGGAGAAACGGATGGAAAATGTTGAAATGGAACAAAATATATGATACAGGGTTTCGATAAGAGGAAGTTTGGAGCTTACACTTCGGTTTCATGGCCTGCTCAGCTTTCTTCGGGTCCTCCATCCTCGTGGGCAGGCACATGACTATCGAGACTAACGAGAACAGCAGCAGCAACCACGCCCAGTTGTACGTCATCTGCGGAACAGAGTTGCGGAAATTTTATTAGTTCGCACTTAAAGGATTAAAATTAAAGCTACACCTGGCGCCCTCTACCTTCGTGAAATACAAGAATATGTAGAAACCAGCTCTAGAAAGGGGGTTTATCGCATGAATGAGGCCCAAATGTCATGAGTCTATTTCCGCGACGCGTGAAAGATTGAACGAGGGCAATAAGGGCTCGCTTTGATGTTTGCGGTTATATAAAAATATTACGTCGCGGTAAGGGGAAGGGGCTTGTGTGTTCTATAATCGATAAAGAGCGATACAATTTCTTCAAGTATGACGCCATCGCTTCATCTGGCGACTTCATAATCGACGCGGTTTACTTTCTTCGCCTATGACGTTACCGTCTGACGTATACGCGCAAAGAGTTCGCAGCTGCTACATCACATGTGTACGTAACTTGATCAAGTGCTTCCCTTATCGAACTTGGTTTTATCGCATGCCAGAGCGATCCTACATACATGTATAATATAAAAAAATTTTCCATGACAAATTAATATAGATTATCCTAAAACGTCGACCCTAAAAGCGCGGCTTTAATCGATATTTTTGAAACTTTGTCGCGTCGCGTGCGTAATTGGAGAACTCGAATTTGTGGAATTTGCACCTATATTTAACTTGTTTATTGGAGAAACCATTAGATACTTCAGAGAAATTCCATACTGCAATATTTCCGCATGTCGCAAACATTAATTGCTCTTAATTGGACTCGCATTAATGAATTACAAAGACCCTGTAAGTTAACACGCGTAATTACATAAACTCTAAAGGGATGCTGGAAATGGCTGGGACAAAGTAACAGGGAGAAAGAGAGAGAACACACACAAGTACCGAAATGTCAGAGTTCAAAATTGCGTACAGAAACGATGTACGTGTATATATATATTTACGCGACTGCGTATTTACATTACTCTCTCTCTCTCTCTCTCTCTCTCTCTCTCTCTCTCTCTCTCTCTCTCTCTCTCTCTGTGCGATAACTTCGCTTATTGTATCCGCGCAGTTTCACGTAGCGAATAGCTCGGATTACACAATACGGAAAATTTAATCAGATTTTTAATAAAAAAAATATAAAAAACTAAAAAAATACACGTCGCACCTCTGACATTTGAGATATTTTGCAGTAAACTTTTGTAATATAAATGTCATTTAATTTAGGTGTTCGTTTATATTCGTGTTATATAACATATGCGACTAAAATTACGCTCATTAAATATTAAAATAATTTGTTTCATTCATTGTTAATATTTAAAGTTAAATCGCTCTCGCGATAATTCCATTCTGCTGAAGTGTCAAGTTAAAAGATTGTAAACGCTTATGGGAATTACGTTCCCGGAATTGACATTTGTCCGAAATGAACGGCAAAGTTTGACAATTAAAGCGACCTAAGCAGTAACGTCAAACCGGATATAGTAGACCTAGAAATCGTACACTTGTTGCATCTACAAATACTATAGTCATTTATCAGTATACGAGCGTATACGAGCTTACACGGCTAGGCGAGTCGAGTTTAATTAAAAATGTATTTCACTGAATGAAAATTTCATTGACAAGTCTACGGCCGATAAATGCCTTTTCTCTCCGCCTTTAATCGCCTTATTACTGTTAATTAGTTTCAATTATAACGAGAATGTCGATGAAAAGTGTTATTGTTTCGAGGAGATATAGGCAGAAGCATAAAATTACATTTAATCCCGAACCAGAGAACCAGTAAAGCTCATTCAAGTCTCTTGAAACATAAAAAATATTACGAATATTACGAATATTACTCAAATATTTAATAATATTTCATAAATACTTAATTTTTATACACTATTTAATATTTTTTATCCTAATATTTAATTTATATTATTATAATATTTAATAAATATACATTCTTTATATAATATTCGGTAAATATTTAATAAAATAGTTTTTTCTGTATTTTAGTCGCGCAACTACCTGTATGAATGCGCTAAGGACGGTCGACCGCGCAAAAGCGGGTTTAAACTTACATATACATATACATATATCGCGAGTCGCTTCAATTTCAGGATCCGGTTTGATTGCCGGATAACTGATCAAAGTCGAGAATGAAAGAAATACGAGAATACACATACACGAAACACATCACGGAATCTGAATCCCATTTACCTTGCGAGACGTGGCGATCGTCAGTCTATATCCTTCACGTCTGCTCGTCCCTTCTGGTTCGTCCTGAACGGTCCTTCGCTGATCCTTCGGCTGGCACCGATTCGAGCTGGAGAACGAGCACGTCCTAGCGTATCCGCCGGTTCGGGGTGGAATGAATGTCGGGGCTCGGCAGGACGAGTAGAAGAGCGGGTACGGTCGATCAACCAACCCCCACCTTGGTGAACGAGCATTCCCCATCTCTCGACTCGCGGTGGTGAGCACCCTACGACAACGCCGCTGGCTGCGCGCGCGCTGCGTTTCCTCGACACACGACATCACGAGAAATATATATATATATGTGTGTGTGTGTGTGTGTGTGGGGGGTGCGCACACACACGAGCCCATCCGTGATATAAGAGAGACGTCTGCCCACGCGATGACCCAACTGCGTCTTCCCGACGCGGATCCCGGTGCTCTACGTGGCGTCGTAAGGATCGTTTGCGTGAGGATTTTCTTGTTATTTTGCCGTCGAAAGCCTGTCAGCTGATATTATCCGAGGTGCGAAGTTTACGGCTTGCTGTCGTCGCTTTAGAAGTAACGTGGAGATGAAAATCTGCATCTGAAAAATATAAGAGAGTATAATGAACGTTTCAAGTTCTCTTTGAGAGAAGGGTTGATTAAGAGTTTTTCTCACATCGAGATATGATTAGGATCGTTTGTGATATTAATGATGTGAATTCCTTGCACGCGCGCAATTTTTTTTTATAAAGTGATATAAATCGCCCTGCTATAATTTGATATTTCTGTAACCCGAGCGGTATTTTTCTTTGACGAAAGGGCATAGGTACGTTTATGCTTTCCTGTCAGCCCTTGAATGTAGTTTAACGGCTCGCTTCTTCTTGAAGGAACGCAGCCTTCTCTTTAGAATCAAGAAGAAACCACAGAAAAGTATTCTATTAAGCTATTTTTCGATTTTATTCAGTTTTATTATTAAAGTAGAAAAATAGCTCTTTGTTTATTTATAATTTTCTCCGTCTTATAAAGGAGAATTTTTCTTATAATTATATATCTTACATGTAATTATAATCTAGCATTTATGCTGTCAATCCGGTGTTAAATTTAAAAAAAAATGTGAAAAAGAAAAGCCAATGTTCTACTAAGTATATTTAATGCACAAAACGTAGAGCCTCGGAAGAATTAATAGAAAATTAAAGCACACCGCATATCGCGGACATAGCAACCCCACTGCATCACACATTGACTATGATGACGTAATCTACTCGCCTTTAATTTTAATGTGACCGTTATGCAAACGTCATAGGAGTAGTTCTTCTCTGGCATTTGAAACGGTGACGTACGAGTCGCGATTCTACAGTCTATGATAATAATGTATATACTTAGAGAAACAGTAGAGACGTGTATATTTTCAGTTGGAACATTATCTATCCTCTCAATCTATCTTCACTTATCAAACATTTACTTTTTCTACCGCGCGTTATGTTCCGATAAATTTAGGAAAAAGAGAAGAAATCGCACGGTACGATTAAAAAGGAAGAATATAAAAAAAGCGCGGAGCGAATAAAAATTCAATAGAAGATCGAAATTGAAAAGGGTATTTTTATATTTCTTTCAGATCATTTTCAACTTGAAAGATACAACAAAATTATGCAAATCCATCGAATTCTTATTCCACTCTCTGATGTTTGCTTTTGTCACTATCATGTTCTACAAGTTTTAATATATGCACATGTAATCATTCCCAGATAGCCACAGTAATTATTATGACATCAAAATAATGTCATAATAATTACTGTGGCTATCTGGGTTATTACCGTGAAAAGTGAAAATTGTGAATATAATTTTAAAAAACTGTATATAGATATAATTTGAATGCAATTTAATAAATAGCTATATATATACAACATTATCATGGGCATCCGCAGAATTTTTTCCAGAAGGACACATAATTAAATTTTTTCTTTTTAAATATTTTTAAATTTAATTTTCATTTTATAAATATGCAAATCAATTTCAGCAAATGCCCATGGATATTATATTAATATACATATAAGTTTGAAATTTTACTTTTTCCCTTCAACTTTTCTTAATCCGCAAACACATTTTAAATTTACATAGGTACATATATCAAGATTTATGTAAATTATATTCACAGCATCAAAACAGATTATATGGCTCGTGAGATATATCGACTATCTGGGATTAGGGTGAAAATCTCCAATGACGAGCTCAGGACGAAGTACGCACAGCCTAGTGTCGTACATTACTTCGCCGCGAGGGAGAAGAGAGAGACTCTCTCTAGCCTTCATCCCTTCGTTCTGTATTCATCCCCAATCACCTAGCTTCAACCCCCGCAACAGGCCGCACGCCTACGCGAGGACGTTACGCGCCCACGCGCGCGATTTCTCTCTCCCACCTTCCGTATTTTCCGCACCATCAAATCGACATCCCTATCGAATATCAGGATTAGAGTGCTTAATAACAGTCGCTGCAAATGCGAAGATAATGGATAATGATAAATATCGTCGATAATATACCATATATACACACCTAATTAAGAATTATCTGCTTTATATTTGTTTCACGAAGCGAGATATATTGAGCGAAACGGTATTTTATTTTTTACCTATATATATATATATATATAGGTATGTATATATATATATATATATATATATATATATATATATATATACCCAGGGTGTCCGGTAACTAATGGACCAACGATTACAAATGGATTCTTTGGTCAATTTGGGAACGATTTTTCCTCAGCAAAAATGTCGAAAAAAGTCATCATTTTTTACAACTTTTCAATATTTGTCATTATATGTATCTTTATAACTAAGCCTCAAATTAAAATTTTATTATAGTAAACTCTACCTGAAATTAACTGACAAATGTAATTATGTTAGACTTTTAGCTCCAAAACGTTTAGTTTTCAAAAAACCCATTTTTTTCAATCGCTTATAACTCGAAAATTATTGACTTTTCAACGTTTTTGCTAAGGAAAAATCGTCTCCAAATTGACCAGAGAATCCGCCCTTAATCATTGGTCCGTTAGTTACCGGACACCATGTATATGCAAAAGTATCGTCCCTAGACAATTTTGATGGAACTGTGTGTCTGTTATTTTTACAAAAGGGTCGGTACGCGACCGTAGGAATCTCTGTTATGTAGAAGAAATGTTTCTAGAATAAATGTGACTCTTACGTCTGAAGCTTCCCGAGGGATGATGTCGCTGCACTTAAAGTAATATCATGTCCGATAACATCAACGGATGAACACTCGCGTGGCTGAAGGGACTTCTTGATGGGTGAAACGAAAACTGACATGAAGGCTATAAACGTGGATTATTTTGGTGCGCATGTTGTGTTTGAATAGAGTGTTTACCTCGAGATAATATTTATCTTGATATATACACGTTCTATCGTACTACTCTCTATATATATGCCATTTTCAATATCTCGACAAGTATTAAATTTGAACGTTTAAATTGGATTATTATCTAGAAACTCGTGACACAGAATTCGCGAAACACGGTATTCTATTTATATAATCTTATGTGACATACTTTCCGCGTATGTATTTCAATCCTTCAAATCAATTTTCCTTATTATACGAAATCATGGGCGTCCGCAGGATTTTTTCCAAGAGGGGGCATAATTAAATTTTTTGTTCCTTCTTAATTGTATTATTTTTATTTTTTTATATTAAATATGCAAATTAATTTCGGTGTCTATTCAGAAAGAAAGCGTACGCTTAATCTTTTTACTGGTTTCAAGGGGGCAAATGCCTCCTCCTGCGGACGCCCATGCACGAAATTATAAATGGATCTAAAGCGAAAGAACTTTGAATGCTTGGCAGTACCTATTTATGAAACGATAGCTCGAGGCAATATCAAAGAACTAAATCGAAGCTGCGTGTCGAATCGATCAGACGCCCTCGCGGATATCTCGTTAAAATGAAAATCGCCTGCACCGCAAGAGAACTCGCAAACCCATCGATCGAATCATCGATGCAAATGACAGGCGGGATGAATACAAATAGCCGGCGATTATTTCCATGCACCGGAGTATTTCCGATCGTGTCGATGACGAGCGGAAAAGAATCGTTTCTCGGCCCTCATCAGCCCTCACGGTATAAGTGCGAGGACTGAAAGTACATAGTCGTACTGTTTCATCGTGTCGGCCCTACTTTCGCGAGCCGCGAGTCGTCGCTCTCTGCTTCTCGCCACCTCGGGCTGCGACGCCTCTCCCGGTGCATCCGCCCTCGCAGCGTAATTGACCTACTTTCGTTAGCTCCGTCATCGTCGTCGTTGTCGTTGTTGCCGTTGTCGCGAGCCGTTGCAGCACGCTTGCGCAAATTTGCGGGTACACAACACGTTGGTGAACAAGTGCAGCCGGCGCTTCCGGCAAATTACAGGAGTCCGCGCCAAGCGCTTCGCCGTCGTGGAAAAATAGGGACATATTTGCTCCCTCTTTCTCGATCTGTAATCAAACGAAAGGAGATTAGCTGTGAGTCGAATGGAAAAAATTCATTATTCCCTTCCAGTTTCTTGGGAACAAATTTCCCAGTAAACGATCCAGAAATGATTCCTCGAAGAGCCGTCGCTATAAAATTGCAAAATAATAGTTTTCACAAATGTTAGATTAATTGGATAATTCTAGTTAATGAATGAATGAAATCCTGAGTCTGAGTTTTCACGAGAGAACTTTACACGAAAGGGGCTGCGCCGAGTGTTAGAAATAAGAATCATCTCATCGAAAACTTTCCAAACGATCTTTTTAATTAAATTTTCTAGCTAACGAACAGTTAAGTACATTTGTTATTACTGGAAAATTTAATTAAAATTTGTGCCAATTATCGAGACGATGAGACTCTCTTTCTCTAAATACTTTTTTGCACCTCTCTACGAAAGTAATTAAATTTGCCGACTATAAAGAAACAGAATTCTACTTTTTTTCACGTCTCTCTTCATTTACGCTATACATAGTAGCAACCTTAATCCGGAAGCATAATGAGCTTTTCGCTCCTTTTTCTTTATGCGTATAACTGATGTGTCTGAAGAATCTTATCGCTACCATTTCACCGCAATGATTTATGATCTATGTTACTTTCGCATTCACGTCGGCTTGTTTTTCTTTCTTCTGGCTGAAAATAGCCACGGATTATTCGCGATACGTTACAATTCATAATTTAAACCGCAAACAAGTTGGTAGGTAAAATAGAAAATGTCGATGAGAAGAGATAAAAGACAAATTTAGCACAAGATTATATGAAGAAAAGTAATAAAAGATGTACAGCATATCATATTAAAGTATGTTTCAAGAGAAATTAATTAAAAATATATATACGATACTCTGAATAATTTTCAATTTTAATTTCAGACGCAATGTATATTCTTTCTTTGACATTCTTCAGTTCTTTGCTTTGTAATGCGAGTAAAGTTTTTCTACGCAGAAATCTTCCACATCGGTTTCATCACTTACATCGCTTTGTTTCGCACGAGGCTGACTTTCGCAAAGTCGACTAACGAGAGCGAATGATAAAGTTGAACGAAAAAAAAGAAGAAAACAGAAAGCATGCAATAAATATTAGCCAAGTTTCCGGCTTGCCTACGTCTTTTTCCAGAGAGGGAGAAAAAACAGTCTTCGCGAGAATTTTTCGCCTCCGTTAAGCTTCGATCAGGCTGGCTGGCTGGCCTGGAGAGTATAATCGCGATGGTTTCGTAAAATCGCGTAAGTCTTGGTCGAGTATCGGCGTCCCCCTGTAGGCCGGGCTCCCATTGACGTCAGTCTTTGAGCCCGTCGAGTGGCGAATCCCCGTGGCACGACCGGTCAAAGAGAGAGGGATGATGGAGGGGCGGAGACGGTCGCGCTTTCCCTTCTACCCTCTTTGACAGGGTGAGAATACAGGGTGACGTCATACGATCCGCGTCTCGTGCCTCCTTCCCCCGAGATCTATTTACTCTTTACTCGCATTATCTGCCAGCAGATTAAAGAGCGTTTGTTGTGATGTCGACGACATGTGTCATAAGCCGGGACAACACGTGTGTTATTTTATGACACTCGATAGACTCGATCGAATGCTGAAAGCAGACATTTCCTCTACAGTCAACAGTTATCATAAATATACGAAATATAATCAAGAGTTCAAATAATATAAGGACAATGCTTTTTTTTTTTTAAATAATTTCTAATAGTTTTTCTAATAATTAATGTTGCAAAATAAACATAGATTTGTATATATTATTTCATATCTTATTTATATTTATTTTTTATACTATTCAATTTAATAAATTTTTTTATATTATAATTGTATAATATATGACTCATATGATGACGTCACTCAAAATTCATTTGGAAAAAGATTTTTTTTATATTACAATATTGTTTATTTATTCTATATTGTTCAAACATAATTCTGATCATTTTTTAAGCAACATAAATTAAAGGGCTTTAAATCATTTATTTTATCCAGATAACTTTTAAGTGATTAATAAAATTATGATGACATCATTATGACCTTTTATACTGAATAATCGCATTAAAAAAGAGTATATAAAGCTGAGTTATATCGAGAGGAAAAAATTGATAAATATTTATATATACTTACGTTTGTAGATTAGAAATATAATCCCGGGGGTGAAATTAGTTGATACATTTGCGAATTAGCAGCACAATCGAGCTTTTTTTTAATAGCCGGCTTGCGAACCCTCACCGATGTATACAACCCTGTAGAACGTGAAATGTAATGAGTTCGGGGAAGAGGGATGGTCCCGAAGGAACGGATCGATGTTCCCGCTGCGTAGTAAAGGACGCCTGTTGATATGAAACGGGAGCGGTTTCATTCATGAAAATGGCAAAACGAGATCGAAGCGTCCGCGGATGCTTCGACGTTATTTCGATGCAAATGCAATTTTTATTGGAACTCCCTCTCTCTCTTGCAGGGATACAAAATTTGCGCGTATATTTCATCCTTCACCTTTCGCGTATATCGTATTTCCCAAAAGAGATGTATATCTTTTTATATATATTTATATATATATATATATATATATATATATATATATATATATATATATATATATTATATATATACATATATATCGCCACTTTTTTTCCTCCATTTCTTGGAAAATTCCAAGCGTGAAATTTTCCGGCAAAATCGGTATTGCATCATAAAAAAAAAATTCATACATACATATACATACATACATACATACATACATATATATATATATATATATATATATATATGTATGTATATATATATATATATATATATATATATATATATATATATATATATACAGAAAAAGATAGAAGATAAAAAAATCGGATCTTTTTAATTACATCATATTGTCTAATTTAAAAAAAAATAAAATAAAATATTAATAACCAAACCTCTATATAATTTTATGCACCAATAAACTTGGAGTACATACATGGAATTTTCATAATCCTTTTTACGCATTATAAGATGCGATTGCATTCCCAATGTAGGAAATTAATATAACTAATTCTTAGTCTAATTCACAAAAATATGTGAATATTTGCATGTAACAATAATTAATAATCATACCTTCTTACCTCAAGCACGATTTATCAGTGTGAGTGCATAGAAGAATTCCGTTGCAATCGCACACCAAACGCCCTCTGTCGGCCAAAATTGAGACTTGAACGACAAATAAAAGGTAGAACGCAGACTCGAACTGACAAACGAGTCGACCAATCAGAATCGAGCACTCTCGACTCTGATTGGTTCGCCGCCTGACAATTTCGTTGTTTACTACTCTTTTTTTTACGTGTTCTAAGGCCTCAATTTTGCTCCAATTTCCTTATAAAGGACAGCACGAATTATATTGTTTAGAAGATCTTTATGTCGTGAAATCAAATATTTTTCCATCGTGCGAATTTTTTTCCCAGTAAAACGTGGAATCTTGCCAAAAGTGACGATTCCCCTTGTTTTGATTGCATTTTTGCGCTTCGAGCGAATCAGCTGTTTCGAGAACTTTGATGTCAGACAGATAATAATGTTATAAGTATCCTTATAAAATTTGAGATTTGTCCAGCCAATTCTGCGAAGATGAGCTTACCCGAGAAAGGAGACGACAATCTGCTCAAGGACGAGTGGGTGGTGAAGCTGGAAGAGACTGCTTACATGCAAAAGCTGTCAATGAATAATCTAATCATGAATTATCTAGTGACAGGTGGGAAACTTTAGCCCTTTATTCCCTTATGATTTTATTTGTGCGAGAGATTTGTTTGGGAAAAATAAATGTCTTCTTACAGAGGGATTCAAGGAAGCTGCGGAGAAGTTCCAACAGGAATCAGGAGTGGGTCCAACGGTAGAACTGAGCTCTTTGGACGAGAGGATTCGTATTCGAGATGCCATACAAAATGGTCGGATCCAAGAAGCGACGGATTTGGTGAACCAGCTGCATCCAGAATTGTTGGACAACGATAGATATCTCTACTTTCATCTGCAACAGTTGCATCTGATTGAACTGATACGCACCGGTAGAGTCGAGGAAGCATTGCAGTTTGCGCAGGACCAACTTAGCGAAGCTGGAGAGTCTGATGATAATATATTGTGCGAGCTAGAACGTACCTTGGCTTGTTGGCTTTTGACGAACCGCATAAGAGTCCTTTCAGTGATCTTTTACACCCAACGCACAGACAAAAAGTGAGTTGAATTTATTTTGCTAAATTAATTTTGTATGTTAATTCTTTATTTTTCTTTCTGCAGATTGCAAGTGAACTGAACGCTGCTATATTGAAGATGGAACACAGGGAATCAACTAGCCCTCGGCTCAGTAATTTGTTGAAGATGATACTGTGGGCTCAAGATGAATTGGATAAGAAAAAAGTGAAATATAATAAGATGATTGATTTAGCTACTGCTAAAATCACTCATGAGAAGTAATTTTGTGGTAGACAGAGACTGGGAAGATAACTTCTCAGTTTTATTTATAAATAAGATAAATATCTGAAATTGACTCTAAAATGTTTTGTGTAAATTGCTGTTTATACTTTGTAGAAAATTATATCTAAATTTTAATCTTGAAAATAATTTAGAGACTAGAACTATTTAACACATGAATTATAATGTAAGAATAGTATAATATTATTATAATTATAATTGTTGTAAGAAATAAGAATTATTATTGTAATTTTTCCTCATTTATTTTTTGGAATTCAACATTAATATAATATAATATAGAAAAATTGCTAAAATATTTTCAAGTTTTTTAAATAGAATGAACGATATCTAATATATGCATGAGACATCCAAAAAAAGACATTTAATCTTATACATTACTTTTTCGACTTTTAGTCGTTTTGTATAATTAATTATTAGATATGTACATATGTAATATAATATAGATATTGTGTAGTAATATATTTAAAAAAAGTAATAGACATTACATTTTCATCATATCATAGAGAGAACATAATTTTCAAAAAATTTAATTAGAAATAATTTATGCTAGAGTTAAAAATGTTCTTTTAGAGATTTTAGGTTTTAGAAGATTGAGATATCTTTTTTATAATTCTTTTTCTTTTGTATAACTATTTATCTGATAGTATTCAATAAGTATATTTTTATCAAATTAGCACAAAGATATTAAAAAATAAATCAACTACCAACCAAATACGTATTCCATTGCTCTAGAAACTAAACCGGTAGATCTTTGTGGAACATTTTCTGGTGTTTGTGCAGTTTGTGGACTAAAATGTTGATTATAACCCGCTGCCAAAGATCTTAACTTTCGTCGTTTCATAGTAGGTGATACATTAAACGGAGAGCGTTCGATTCTGCCCATCGAAAGTGACCTCATGCTTCCGTTCAGCTTAGTACGATTCTCTTTGTCTGCGCAACCTAAAATAACGCCCTCATCTGTGCACGGTATGACACCGATCATAATCGAACCGGAAACAATACTGCCATTGCACGTGAGAGCTCTCTGTGCTTCTTGCTCCGATGCACATTTCAAGTGTATCCAATTGCTTTGAGACTGCGGTGCCGGGTGTTTGTCCACTATACGAACTCTACTAGAAATATGGGACAGAACAGCGTTGATATCGCTTGGTAAAAAGCCAAAGACGGTTACCCACTGCAGCAAACTCTGCGACTCGCTCGCGTTTATATTTATTGGACTGTCTGGAAACAGCAATGGACTGTTTATCGTGCTCGTCATGAGTCTGGATTGATTTACAGATGTAGGCGTGACAGGTGGAAGTGCAGTTGACACATATGGCGACGACACTTGTGGCACTTCCAAACTGTCAAACAGTCCACGCGTTGGTGGTCCTCCGGTATGATTCTTCGTGCTCATCTGTGGTGTACTAGCAGTTGTAGTGTTTCCAAACACAGCTTTTTGACGATTAGATCGATAGTCTGGAGTTCCATAGGAAGCTGCCGACATCATACTGGCATTGGTGATATTTAAATGGCGTGGATTATCTTGAGGGCTCATTACATTGATCTTTGTCGGCTAAAAATTTACAGATAAATGTTAGTAAATGCAGTATTATACACATTTTTAATTTCATATGAAAGATTGTATTCTAACAGTGTTTGTATCACCCCAGAGAAAACTTGGCAAGTACGCAGAAGAACTTCCTGGGGTGCCAGGACTTTGTATAGGACTACTCATCGGTGATCCCAGGGTCATAGGCTCCATCTAACAAAATGAGAATTTTCAAATAATGGAATTAGGTATTAATAATGTTAATTTTACTTTCTTGTCAATTAAAAAAAAAAAAAAAAAATGTTAACGTATAATCATTAATTTAAATAAAACGGAGCATAATCACTTTCAAACTGTATATCTTTTAGGTTAAATTAACAAACATTTTAGATAATTGAATTAAAAAGGTCTCAATTATTCAGTTACTTACGTTAAAAATGTCTTCTAAGTAACTTTTTAAGCGCTACAGTGATTAATGTATACTAATGTCTTATTATCTAAATAAAATTAAAAAACACGTTTGTACTTTATCACGTGAGACGACTCTGGATTCGAAAGAGAAAGAAGGAAGACTTCTGCGTCCTGATTGGTCGAATTGCTAAATTTTGTAAGCGCGCCACAAAAATGGGCAGCCAATCAGACGCGCTCGAGAGCCTAAGAAACTACAAAAGAGTTGCGAACGCGCCTTTAAGAAGCCGGGTGCAAAAGTGTCACGTGACCATTCAAATATTTTCCTCTTATTTCGATAAATAATCATTTATCAACGATGTAAAAAAAAAGGCAAGATATGTAAAAAAATCTATTGATAAACCCGCTTTTTTAGAGCATATACAGACATTAAAATTTGCATTTTAGTAAGAGGAAAAAAGATTTAGTCTGTGAAAGTCGACCTCGAGCGACGACTCGCGGCAGTCTTCAGTCGACGACGACACGGTTCGGACGTAGAGCGAAAAGTAACGCGAAAAATGAGAATATTTACGTCGAATCGGACAATCGATGGCTCCGAAAGGGAGAATCTTCGTCGTACTTCGTCAGGCAAGTATTAGATCGATCAGTCAAGCTCGAAAATCTATCGCGGCTCGAAATTCTTAACAAAATTCGGGACAAGAAAATGAAGTAAATGGTCGGGTCGTGATTTTTTCCGAATTTATTTCCACATTTTTCAACATCAAAACGAATAAAACAAAGTCGAAATCATCGTACAATATCGCAGAGTTCAATCTCGAATAGACATATATTCATGTGGTTTTATTTATTTTTTCTCCAGGTCTCGAAAATACGCGGCGCAGAATTCTCCGAAAGCGGCGGAAAACATTTCTCGAACTTGATCCTTGTGTTGATACCGTGCGACGCCGGCCGAGTCGAGCCGAGCCGAGCCGAGCCGAGCCGAGTCGAGCCGAGCCGAGTCGAGCCGAGCCGAGCGCCGCCGAGGCCGCGCGAAGTTAACCGAGCGGCGCGACAGTTTCGCGGACGGATTCGAAGACTGCGCACGGCGCGCGAGTGGCTCGGAAAGTTTCGCGGAAAGTGACAGCATCTGTCTGAAATCAGAGTGAAATCGGTGACTCGGAACGACGAGACGTTCGTTCCCTTCCATCCGGGAGCTGTCAGATTCGAGTTTGACAATTCGTTGTGACGTCATGCTCCGAAAATTCGACGCGCAAAATCGAGTGATATTGTACGTACATGTATATAGTGATGGCGGCGCGCGCGATTCCGACGCCGCCCGAGGAAAGCCGAGCGATTCCAAGAAGTGACAGCTTGTTGCAACGCGCGCACGTGCGAAAAGTGCGGCTTGTTTTTTTTAAAGTTCGATAACCGGGCGACAAATTCGGAAAGTGTGTGCGTAAATTGTGCGAGATATAACGCAAAAAGTGATATATCGGAATGAAATTGTGTGATCGAACGAGGGAATATTTGTGTCAGTCAGTGAATAGTGAAAAGCTGCCATGAAATGGATTAAATATCTTCTGGAAATCAGTGGATTAGGAGCAGGTATATTGCTACAAAAAGTGAGTCGTATTTTATTTATACATTTGTTTTGCTTGTATTTTCTGTTAATTGTGAGATTCTTTATTGTTTTCTCATTCTCTGCCAGATATTAAAATATGTTTATATACATTCAGATATTAAAATATGTTCATATACATTCATCTTATTTCAAGTTTAGAAATTTGTGGGATTTGCAAGCAAAACAAACATTGAAAAATTAATAAAATATAAGAGAGAGATAAGAATAAACTCTTTCTCTTTATAATAATATTAATTGAGCGCGCGATATATTTAAATATAATTAAATAAATGAAAATAAACTACGAGAGAAAATGAGGAGACCAAATATTTTTATAGTAATTATATAAGAAGCAGAATATATTTTTCTAAAATAATTACATCACAGGAGTTTGGAAAAGAGAGACAAAATGACATATTCGACAATGTTATAATAGTGAATAATTTTAATAACGATGAAAATTATGTACATATTTACACAGGCTTGTAAACACTTATTCTAGTAATTAGGACACGTATTAAGGGCCTTAACGCACTACCTCGTATGAAACGCGTTTTCCTTTTTCTATTCGATTTAAACACAGCATTTCGCGCGAATTGCGCAGCTTTAAATTTATTTAACACCTCGGCGCACTTTACGCATGAAATCGCAATGCAAAATACATACTTTGTCTGAGTCTATACGAAAAATATATCGAAAGGATATCTATCTTGAGCGTATCGAAATGCTTACGTTGATTCGGAAATAATAATATACAGGTACGCCGCTCTGTGCATTTGCGCTTCAACCCTGGAAAGAGCGAGGAACGTCCTAATTTATCACACTTATTGTTAAAGTTATAATTAGGGTGGCCAATCGTCTCGAATTTTTCGGGATGTCCCGATTTTCGATCCTCATTAGAAGCATCCTGAAAGAACTTTTTACGGGACACTATTTGTCCCGATTTTTCACATAATATTAAATAATAAAACAAAATAATAAATTATACTAAAATTTTTTTTATATGTACATGCACAGTAGGAAAATTTGTGTTTTCTTCATAAAAAACGGTTCCCGTTAAAATTTGTGTGTTAAAAATTTAACACATTCATGTGTTAATTTAACATATTGCTGTATATATATATATATATATATATATATATATATAACACAACACACACACACAGCAATATGTTAAATTTAAGTTCAATATATATATATATATATATATATATATATATATATATATATAATTGAACTTAAATATTAAATTATTAAAATCACTAAAATCAATGTGCATCTATTTTTAATTTTACACAATAAATATATTCTGATTTATTAGTGGCAAGATTTATCTGTTAAAATTTACAGAAAAATATGTTGATTGTTTGTTTTATAATATAAATGGGGATGATAAAATTTTAAATCAACATATTTTAAGTTATTTAATAGTAATTTAATAATAATAGTAATTGTTACATTAAAAGTATGTTAATTTTACACAAAGTTAATTTTAAATTATTTGTAGTTTTGCATTAATTTTGTGTTAAAATATTAACACATTATTTATGTCTCCATTTAACAAATCCATATTATGTTAAATCTAAAATTTTTATGGACCGTTTGGGATATGTGATATTTGTTAAATTTAATACATTTTTCAAAGTATAAGATTAATTTTAGAATTTTATTTGTTTGTATTTTGTATGAGAAAAAACTTTGTTTATTTTTTATTGCTTTTATTTCGGTTGCTAATTTTATTCATTAATTTTATTTTAAGAATTTATCAGTGTAGTTTCATACTAAACTAATGATTATATATATACATATATATATTTTTTTTAAATAATATGCAATAAAACTGCAATATTACAATCATATTAAATTATGTTACAAAATTAAAATTATATGTATTATACAATAAAAAGTCCTGATTTTCTAAAGTTTATATCTTGAACTTAGTCGATCAAGAGTTGGTCACTTTAGTTATAATAAGACTATAAAGTACACTATAAAATAATTTTTAATTATAAGAAAAATTTTTAATTATTGTAAAGTACGTTTTTTTCTTCTTTCTTCTTTTGTCGCTTTTATAAAAGTTGACGAGAAAGCAAATTTGTTAGAATGCTTCCGAGAGAATTTCAATATTTCTTTTTAATTTTTTTTATTTATTTATACGATGAAAGAATTACGAAACCTTATCGTTTTTTATCGATAGATTATTGGTAATCTCTTATTTTTGTTTCTCTGTTATTCAATCGACGCTCGTTTACGTAAGATTTTTCGTCGAAAAAAAAAATACTTAAACATACGGAAAGCCGGATGCGATAAGTTTGTTTTTCGTTTCGCTCGATTCGGAAACTTTTTATTATTCGGCTCCGCCGCTCTTTCCAGGTTAAATCACGCGGAATAAAAAATGTTGCGGCATCGAAAAATCGCGAGTCTTCTTTCAGATATGTGTGTCAATTTTTCTCTCCTCTCTCTCTCTCTTTTTCTCGAGCTACGGATCTCTCCTACTTTACGAGGAAAGTACACCATTTGTCGCGTTGAAACGCGGCATTCCGTCAAATATTTGCGTCGCATATTTTCCTCTCGTGAAAGAGCATATGGTAGAAAAAAGGGGGCGCAACGACGCTCATATTGAGAGCATGAGTCATTTTTTCCGTCGCATTTTTTTTTTTTATGTCGAGTACTCTCGCGGATGCGTTCCATAGGCTTCGCCATTCGCGTAATCGCTATTTACGACTTTCAATCATAATGACATTTTTCTTGTTATCTATATATACATATATTTTCCACGTAAGGCAATAACATATAGCGTATCACTCGGAGTACTTGGTTTTTTTTATTTAAAACCTGATAAAAAATTTTTTATATATAATTATATATAAATAATATTGTATAATTGTACATATAACCGTAAAATTATATGTAAAATACATGTCCATTTTTATACATAATTATATGTATAAATTTATATATAAATTGTAAGAGTTTATACACTGAAAAAAAGTTAATTCTTATAAATATTTCTTTCAATACTGCTAAATAAGTCATTTATTTGAAACTAATAATATTTATCTGATATGAAAAATATTTATTTAATATAAGAAAATCCTTTTCAAAACAAATAAATATTTATTTGTTTCAAATAAATGATTCATTTGACAGTATTGAACTAAATATGTATTAATTCTTTTTTCAGTGTACATAATCATGTCAAATTATATATGAGAAACATATATTTATATATATGAAGGAATATTATATATATATATATATATATATATATATAAATTTATATAAATTTATATAAATTTATATAATTATATATAAAAAGCACTATTATCTAATTATGTATGGCCATATTTCATATATAATTTTGAGATTTTATGTACAATTTTATATATTTCTATATAAAAAATCTTATATTGTTATATATAAAGAATGTTTTACTGAAAAATGCGATAACGAATTGAAATATATCTGGGGTAATTGATGATTTTCCGGTATTGTGCTACTTTTCTATACTTTCATACATTTCAGTACTTGTATCGATATATTTTGTATTTTCTCCGCCATTCTTACGCGAGCTTACGCAGACGAGCTTGCGATAAAATCATCTCGAATCGATTGCATACAGCGACGGGGTAAAATGACCTTAATAGTGCTCGCTAGGTAGCCGTAATGTGCTAGGCGGCGAAAACTCTATCCCCGAGTCATTATCTAATAAAGTTCACGAGTATGTCGTGGAGCGAATCCTCTATCGTGTTGGATAAAATTTAAATAATAATAATACATTTTAAAATAAAATAATTTTAAATAATAATACCCTATTTCTTGAAGAAAACACTTTTCCATAAAATTGCGATCAATTTTCCCCAAAAGAAAAAATCTATTTGTACACACTTTGTTTCTATTATAATGTAAAAAGTAGGTTTCTTTTATGGCTTCGCAGTTGAGAAATTTGTGTTAAATTTAATAGATGTCTCAGAGAAATTTTTATGTTAATTTAATATAATACGCAGATTTGTTAATAAATGGTGACACGAATATTGTGTTAATATTTTAACACAAAAATGCAAAGTTTTTTTCAAGTAATGTGAAATAAATTTTGTGCAAAATTAACAGTTTTAATGTAAAAATTATCTTAAATATTAATTTTACATTCTTATATTATTATAGAATAAAATCAACATTTTATTCTGCAAAATTTTAATAGACTGTCACTACACGGAGAGAATTTATCCTGAAAAATGTGTGAAAATATGATATTGGAGGAATTTTATAAGAGTCTTTCTGATTAATGTTTACCACGATAAAAAATATTAATATATACATAGTAAATTTTACTATGTACATAGTAAAATTAATTGAATATATTTTATATCTTATTATGGTAGATAATAATATTTTTTATTGTGGTAAATATATTAATCAGAAAATTCTCTCGGTGTAACAATACATATTTATTATGCAAAACCAAAAATAGATGCACATTCTATTATTTTTCCACTGTTTTTCAATTGTTTTAATAATCTAACATTTATAAGTTCAATTAACACAACTGCAATATATTAAATTAACAGGTCAATGTATTAAATAATCCTAACAGAAAAATTGTAACGGAGACCTATTTTTTTTTAAACAAGAAGACAAATTTGTCAACTGTGTTAAATAAAAATTCTCCGTTTCCTCTCCAAATTCGAATTTGACGAATTCCCAAATTTCGCAGACATGTTCGATGAATGTCGCGCATTATTAATTGACGTCTGGTGTAATTCCCTCGTGTTGGCCTCGTCGGGACGAGAAAAATAGCGATTCAGGGGACGCTCACTGATGTCCGATGTCCGGGATTACGCATTATTGTTAATTACGACGACACGTTACGGACAGGCCTAAGTGGAGGTCCGTGTTTCCTCGTCCTAGGTTCGTGCGCGCGCGTCCACCGGGATATTTCAATATCGATCGAAAATACGATAGTAATTCCGTACGCGTGACATATATCCGATATGAGATTAACTATGCCTTACAATTAGTCAGAAGGGGGACGACAGCGACCCGATTAAGCGTTTCACGTGCTGGGTTCATCGAATGGGACTCAACTCAATCGAACGCGAACGACTGACTCTGGGTCGTTTTGCGACAGAAAAGGTTCTCGTTTGTTCAAAAAAAGAGACGATTGTTGTGCAAGGTCGCACACGGTGATGCGTAATAATAGCGCTCGATAAAGATTGCTATACAGAGTGTCTCAAAAATTCCGGATACTCTGTTAATATATAGGGAAATTCCTCGGGTTATTTGGAGACAATTTTTCCTCGGCAAAAATGTCGAGGCACCAATCATTTTCGAGTTATAAGCGGTTGAAAATTAGGATTTTCGCAAACTACCCATAAAAAATTTAATTAATTCTTATATAAGTATTTAGTTCAATACGTTCAAATAAATTATTTATTTGAATCTAATAATATTTATTTGATATGAATAAATATATTTATTTGTTTCAAATAAATGATTTATTTGAACGTATTGAACTAAATATTTGTTAACTTGATTAAACCTTTCAACTAAATTACTATTTTGTTAATTGAACATATATTAGTAAGTATTTAAGTCAAATATATGTTTTGCTAGATTTAATATGTTACATTTAATTTAAATATTTTTATATGTTCGATTAACGAAATAATATTTAATAATAAGAATATTTTTAAGTCGGCTCTCCAATTTTTAATCATCGTATTTATCTCGACTAAAGAGCCAAACGCGATGTTATTGAAATAATATTTAGTTGAAAAATTTAGTCAAGTTAACAAATTTTTTTTCAGTGCTCCATGTTCAAAATTGATGCATAAAATATCATTAAGGAATCTTGAAGACATCTTTAAGAAATCTTATATGATATGAAATCCCAAAGACATCTTAAAAACATCTCAAAGATGTTTTATGTATCAATTTTGGACACGGTGCTGTCTGAGTAAACCTTGTGGAAAAAAATATTAACAAAATCACATTCCTCAGGAAGAATTCACTTTAGTAGAATTTTAATTTGAGGCTTAGTTAACAAAGATATATACAATACATGATGGCAAAAATTGAGAACATGCAAAAAATGATGACCTCCTTAAAAAAAATTTTTTTTTAAATTCTGGCTGTTCTATTAACAGTTCTAGGCAGCATCACAAGAGACTTCTAAAGAAAATTCTAATGACAAAATTAAATATTTGTAATACTTTTATTGTTATCGCTGATTTAAACATTTCATTTTGTAAAGTTAGCACACCCTCAAAATTCAAAATTGATTTTTTTAGCTTAATTCGCGCCGGAACTATTTTTAAAATTGATAAGGAACTCCAGAACTCTTCAGGGTGCATTCAGAACTTAAAGAAGAAATTTGTCTTTTTAAAAATGGGGTGCCAAACTTCACATTTTTGCTGAGCAAAAAATCGTCTCCGGATAATCTTAGGACTCTCCCTATTAACAGTGTCCGATAATTTTGGGACACTCTGTATATTCCTTTAACGAATGTTTTTCTCCTCTTTACACATTTCTTTTTTAAAGCTATTATATATATTTTAGGATGTACCATATTGTCTAGAATATTACATTACATTTATAGTACTCGTTAGCTACTTTCTTAGCGACATTCGACCTATCTTTACCGATCGGGAGAGTTATATCGGAAATTATAAAGCCAAGAGGGAAATTATAACTCGCAGGGTAACACGGTTAACTAAATATATACTCGGAGGGACGATAAAAACGGAAACGAGGAAAATTTTAAGAAAGTGTCTCTCATCAAACGCTATTATCGCGCGCTGCAAAAGATAGACGAAAATCAAGAAAAATATAGAACTGTGTTTTTACGATTAATTTTTTTTCTTGCAAAGTTAAATATTTAATCCTCGAAATCAAGCATCGAAGATTGGATATTCATAATTTTACAAAATAAATTTCCATAAATTCCTTTTCAATTCATCCATTTTTCGCAATCACTCGAACGATTTATCCACCGTATGTGAATATATATATATATATATATATATATATATATATATTATGTATACAAGGTATCCCATTTTAAACAACGCATCTCGATAATTCTTCAACGAAGCATTTTCAGCAAAATAAATGTTTCAGACAAATGTATGGTTTCGAGGGAGACATAAGATGGTGCCATTAATTTGACCTTGAAAAGTCATTTGAAGGTCACGTGAAGGTCAACTTCAGTTTCTTAAAAAATTACATTACAAATAACATACATCATTTTTAAAGCAACTGTGTTTTCTTTGCAACTATATGGTTCCATTTAAGAAATTGAAGTTGACCTTCACGTGACCTTCAAATGACTTTTCAAGGTCAAATCAATTTGGCACCATCTTATGTCCCCCTCGTAACCATACAACTTTTGTCTGACACATTTTTGCTGAAGAATTATCGGTGTTTTTTTAAAATGGGACACCTGTATATAAAAAAAAAAAAAAAAATCTGTTTCGCGACTATCATTAACTCTGCTTTGTACGAAGAAATCGCTGAGGGGGGGGGGGGAGGGCAAAATGGCGATCGTAGAATGGGGAGGAATGAATGTACCCAGATGAAAGAAGATCGTCTTATCCGGTTATCGCGCGCGCGACTGCCAAGGTGAGAATGAAAATGATATGTCGTGAAAATAGAAAATCCTTTGTAAAAATCGTAGTAAGAATAACATCGACGTATCTCTGGAAAGCGATATAAAGGAGATGACGACTCCGACATCGTCCTTCACGATGATTCCTCGCGAGAGAGAACCTTGGACGATCTAAACAAACGCGAAGGAGGAGGAAAGAGATATCTCTCTTCTTTTTCCTCCTGCATTGAAAAACAAATTTGTTAACTTGACTAAATCTTTCAAAAAATTACTCTTTCTAATTAAACATATATTAGTATATTTAAGTCAAATATATGTCTTATTGCATTTAATGTTATATTTAATTCAAATCTTTTTACAGTTAACTAATTTTTTTCAGTGCATCCACTACAATAAGATATAAAATACGTTCGATTAATTTTGTCATGTAAAATTTACTGAGTACAATATTAATATATTTTTTATTATGCAATTATTAGTCAGGAAAACTCTTACAAAATTTAATTTAAATATATTCAATTAACAGAATGATATTTATTTGAAAGGTTCAGTCAAGGTAACAAATTTGTTTTTCAGTGTGCGTGTACGAGAATACATTTAGAGCCTAGAGCGCACGTAGTGTGTAAGATTTCACCGACTTACGCGTAAACTGGACGTACACTTACAATTATATATGCATTATTGGTATTGCGTTTATTTTTATTTTTTTATTTTTATTTTTTATTTTTTTTACGATTACGCGAATTAGGAATTAGTATAGTAAGGGTGAAACCGATCTCTCTCCTAACGTTTACATGATTAGGAAGCAACGTGAGGGTGGATTGGGGAAGAAAGGAAAACGATTCTTCGTTAATTATCACGCGATGGCGATCGATGTGAGGAGGACGAGGCCGACGACGAAGATCGTCCACTCGACTGCGATGCTCGCGGTTCCTGAAACATTAAAAAGCGAAATGTATTCGTTATTAACCTCTCTCTTTCCCGCCGTTATTCGGCCCTCGTAAAATCGCTTTTGTTCGCGAGAGAGTGAAAAAATATCCTGGCTCGGTTACGTCGCATTGACGTATATAATAATTTCGTTTTTTTCCGGCAGCGAGAAAAATTGGATCGCGTTAATCAATCCCGCGAAATGTTAAAAATTGAAGATACTGAGTGGCCCGAAATTTGCGAATCATCTTATTTCCTCAGAAATGTCGAGAGAAAAGATATTAATAATGTGCGTAGTAAATTTTATTATGTTAAGTAAAATCAAAAAATTGGATCGCGTTAATCGATTCCTCGAAATATTAAAAATTGAAGATACTGGGTGTCTCGAAATTTTACTTTGTTAGTAAAATTAAAAAAATTGGATTGTGTTAATCAATCCCTCGAAATGTTAAAAATTGAAGATGCTGGGTGGCCCGAAATTCGCGAATCATCTCACTTCCTCAGAAATGTCGAGAGAAAAGATATTAATAATGTGCGTAGTAAATTTTATTATGTTAAGTAAAATCAAAAATTGGATCGCGTTAATCGATTCCTCGAAATATTAAAAATTGAAGATACTGGATGTCCCGAAATTCGCTTTTCCTCAGCAAAAATGTCGAGAGAAAAATATTAATGCAAATTTTACTTTGTTAGTAAAATTTAAAAAATTGGATTGTGTTAATCAATCCCTCGAAATGTTAAAAATTGAAGATACTGGGTGGTCCGAAATTCGCGAATCATCTCACTTTTCCTCAGCGAAAATGTCGTTAGAAAAAATATTAATAATGTAATAGTAAATTTTATTATGTTGAGTAAAATTAATTAAACATATTTTATGTCTCATTGTGTTAAATATTAATATTTTTATTGTGGTAAATATTTAATTAGAAGAACTCTTAAAAAATTCTTCCAATACCACAGTGTCTCACGATTACCATGATTTTCAGGGTAATAAATTCTAAAAGAAAATTCTTTCTGTGCATGTTCCCAATTTTTGCTATCATGTATGTTTGTAACTAAGCCTCAAATTAAAATTCTATTCAAGTAAACTCTACTTGAAATTAATTGAAGAATGTGGTTTTGTTAGTAATGTATGAAAAAAACTACCCTTATTTTCAATCTTTTCTAACTTGAAAATTATTGGTGCCTCGACATTTTTGCTGAGGAAAAATTATCTCCGAATGCTCCGAGGAATCTGCCGTTAACAGATGATTCGCGAATTTCGTGACACCCTGTATATACATAAATTTACGCAAAATGCTGTGTCGGAAAAAATGGGATCTCGCGAAAGCGGGATACAGCTGTCGGCGAAAATAACTCGGCCGAAATAGGATAGGGAGAGGATTGTAGCGAATTTGCGATGCGCATCCCTTAAACGCTTAATTCGGAGAACGCCGAACTATATCCCACGTACTCATTTCGTGAAGCCCGAGCCTCGTTCTTGCCGTAATTTAGTTCGGGATTTGAATACAGTGTGGCTGTAATTAATCAGTTTTTATTGCGGTACTCGGGCGATAGCACTATTGCGGATTAAAGCATCGTGCAATTAGTTTTCCGTTGTGATTAATGTCGAATGCCGTACGCGCTTATACGGGGCTTATTCGTTTTAATACTTAGGGCTTTATAATCCGCTGTATACTCCTCGTTCCTTGTTGTGAGATCTTCGACGCTTTCCGGACCTTCGGAAATTATTTTCGCGCTTATAATATGTATAGTCCAGTAAAATTAGATTTGAAAAGGGCAAAACTTCAAAGCTGAATTTTTGTGGAAATCTTTATTTCGATGTTTTAATGAAATCCTGAAAAGTACAGGACGTTTTTTCTGAGGAGTAAAAGGGGGTAAATTTTAGTTTTTATTATTATCTCGAAACCTATCAATTTTTCGAGAAAAATAGTTATTATTAAAAAAAATTGTAGCTCGTAAAATTCCCTGCAAAAAAAGTCATTATACTTTTTTCGTACAACTAATTGTTTTTGAGTAAAACGTGCGGTAAAGTTGCAATATTTCTAATATAATTTTTCTTTCAGACTTAATTTGCTTTATATCTTTGAAACGATTAATTTGACGAAAAAAAGTATAAGAACCTTTTTGTAGGGAATTTTATGAGCTACAATTTTGATAATAACTATTTTTCTCGAAAAATAGATAGTTTTCGAGATAAGAGCAAAAAACTAAAATTTATCCCCCATAAAAAACCGCCTTGGCTGAAATTAAGGGTACTTTTCAGGATTTCATTGGAATATATCGAAATAAAGTTCTCCACAAAAATTTAGCTTGATTATAATTTTTTTGAAGTCAAAGTCTTATTTTACTGAACTAATATATCGAGCGAAATTGGCGTGTTTTAGCAAATATAAATATTCGCTCGAATGGTTATTAATAAAATATAAATATTCCCTCGAATTTTGCCACCGCACTGAGCGAAATGGGTGTGTAAAAATATGCTGTGTGTATATTTACAATCGGTATTTAGATCGCAAAATATGTATTTTCGGTGAAAAGTCTACTTTAATACGATACGCAATTCAACAGGACTGTGAAATTACCTCCGATTTGTTTCCGGTCGAGGTAAGCTCGTAGAAAAATCCGCGAGTTTCTCGCTTACGAAAAAAAACAAAAAAAAACACCCGAAATAAACGCAAAATATATCGTAATATATTTTACAATCACAGTGCCGCCCGATTGCCACACAATTCTTTAAATCAAATCCGTTAGCGGAATAATAATTCAACGCGAGCACCAAGTATTATAAAATTGGGATTTATAGCTCCGCGCAAAGAGCTTGACCTAAGTAAATTTTTCATTTTTCCGCAACCCCAGTGCTTCGCAATCGATGATACATCGCGGTTCGCATTTTCCCACGATTCATGAGTATTACAAAAATTCACGAACGCGTGAAAAGTGTCGAGAAAAAATTGTGAAAATATATATAAAAGTCGTGGCGTGACAATTGTTTCTCCAATTGAAACGTACGTTTCATCTTGTCAACTTGAGGTTACACAGAGAGAATTTTCTCTTAGAATTTATTTTGAAAGTCGTGGTAAACGTGGAGACAATATGATATTGGCAGGATTTTAGAATTTAGAGTTTCTCTGATTATATATAATATTTTTATCACGATAAAAAATATTAATATCTCTCACAAGATATAAAATAGGTTCGATTAATTTTATTATGTGCATAGTAATATATTTTGTTGCGGTAGATATTAATATTTGTTATTGTGATAAATATATATTAATAGATTTTATCGTAGTTAAATATTAATCAGAGAAATTCTTACAAAATTCTTCCAATATATGTACATAATAAAATTATTAATGTACATAGTAAAATCAATCGAACATATTTTATATCCTATATTGTGGTAGATATTAATATTTATTATTGTGGTAAATATTAATAAGAGAAACTCTTATTCAAATCCTTCCAACACCATATTGTCCCACGATTCCCGGAAAAAATTTTTTATATATAATTATATATAAATAATTGTATAATTATACATATAATTGTGAAATTATATGTGAAATATTTATATATAAATTATAAGGGTTATTCATATATATAATCATTTCAAATTATATATGAAACATATATTTAGGTATATGAAGAATTACTTATATATAAATTTATATAATTATATATAAAAAGCACTTTTATCTAATTATGTATGGACATATTTCATATATAATTTTGCGATTCTATGTATAATTTTATATATTTCTATATAATTTTATATTGTTATATATAAAAAAGTTTTTCTCGGGTTACTATGATTTTTAGGCTAAATTCTAATAGTCCAGTAAAATTAGATTTTGACTTCAAAAAAAATTATAATCAAACTGAATATTTGTGGAAACCTTTATTTCGATGTTCTAATGAAATCTTGAAAAAAGTACTCTTAATTTCAGTCAAGGCGTTTTTTTATGGGGGGTAAATTTTAGTTTTTTGCTATTATCTAGAAAACTATCAATTTTTCGAGAAAAATAGTTATTATCAAAATTGTAGTTCATAAAATTCCCTACAAAAAAGCTTATACTTTTTTTCGTGGAATTAATTGTTTCGAAGATATAGAGTGAATTAAGTCTGAAAGAAAATTATTAGAAATATTGCAACATTACCGCACGTTTTACTCAAAAACGATTAGTTGTACGAAAAAAAGTATAATGATCTTTTTTGTAGAGAATGTTATGTGCTACAATTTTGATAATAACTATTTTTCTCGAAAAATTGATAGTTTTCGAGACAATAACAAGAAACTAAAATTTACCCCTCATAAAAAACGTCCTGGATGAAATTAAGGGTACTTTTCAGGATTTTATTAGAACATTGAAATAAAGGTCTCCACAAAAATTCAGCTTGATTATAATTATTTTGAAGTTTTGCTCTTTTCAAGTCTAATTTTACTGGACTATAAGAGAAGATTTTGTATAGAGACGTACACGATTACAGTGATGGTCCTCGCGAGTTTCTGTCCCTTAATTTCTCGAAACTCGCATTTCATCAAGTTTCAGACGAGATAAAACTCAGGACCGGTGAGTTAATCGATATCTCGGGAGGTAACGTTGCGCAATTGCGGCGCAGGTGTGGGAAAGTATAAGTGTGGGAAGAGCGAGAGAGAGAGAAGTCTTACCGTCCGTCAGATCCTCGCGAATGTGGCTCTGCGCCCTGGTCTCGCGGCTTTCCATTATAGACGTTTTCAGAACGCTCTCGTCGCCCACCACGCTCTCCTCGTTGCTCTGCTTGTACACCGTGGCTATTGTGGCCAAGCACTTTAGCTTCATGTCGCCCTGCCTGAAGTGCTTGTTCTCGACGCGAAATTCCAGACCGAGTGTCGCGACGTCCAGGCCATTGTCGTCGACGACGATTTCGGGCCCTCTCAGATACTCGGGGTCCGCCTGAAAGCGCGAAAAATGCTTATTTTTTTATTTATTTAATTTTTTTTTAAATAAAACCGGAATACAATCCGGTCGGATGGGAGAAGCGTGAACAATTAGGTGGATTTTTATTTCGGATTTTTAGATTCGCGACCCGAATTACGCAGCATCGACAACGTCAATTACAGGTGAGATGAAAAACATAGATACGCGCGATATTCTATAGAACGCAATTTGAAAACAATTAAGAACAGGAGTGATTGCTCCCTTTTGATCCCGGATGCAAATTTTTTTTCACGAAACCAATTACGCGAAATTGCATTAAGCACCGAAGCAAGATTCTAATTATTGCACGATAACGATAATAATATTCATCAGCAACGCGCGCGCGCGCTGTAAAGTTATTTTAAAGTTAATCTTTAATTCGGTTATAAAGCTTCGCGTAGGGTGGAAAATTTCGCTGAAATATAACGGTAACGAATTTTCTGAAAAAAGAGAGAGAGAGAGACGCGCAAGTTCTGTAAACATTAACGACATATAAATGGGATCGGATAAATGGAAAATATACATAAACGTCGAGGATTCCAAATCGATATTCAATGTTGACACGACAGACTGTCGACGTTTCACCTTTAATTGGGAATTGGTGACCGGTGTTTTATCAAAATAAATTTTAAATTAGAACATTATCGGGAGTGGAGAGAGTATTTTTCGAGATTAACGCACAGCACACACACACACACACACGCATGCATAAATAAACGCAAATGGACACGCACATATGCGCTTTTGTAATGAAAACAAAGTGGAATGAAGCTTTGATTTATTTAGCAAATTGCGTACACCGCTGTGTGTTTTTTCTCTTTTTCTCCGTAACAGAGAAATGCAACATTTGGTCGGTGAGAAAAGTCTAGCGAGGCACGAAACAAAGGTTGCAATTATTTCGCCGACGGTTAAAGTGTCTCACTTACCGGCTCGTCGTTGATGAACCAAGACAATAGCGCGCCTGGTTTAGAAGGCGCCGACGTGCAGTCCATACGAACGACATCGTCCACCTGATACTTGGGACGACCGCCGGTTATCTGCGGTCCTTCGTTAGGTAGAACTGAAACGTTGCCATGACCCTTTCTAGTGCTATTGTCGTACCCTCGGATTAGATCCCCCCTTATCTTACCCGCGTGCATTTACTGTGCACGTATTCATTTATCTAGTCTCATTCTCCTCTCTCGCAAATTTCAGCCAAATCATTATCTCGCGAGCTAATACACCGCCTCGTTTTGAGGATAACAAGATTTCTTTAATGTATACTTTGGATATTTATATATACAGGGTGTCCGGTAACTAACGAATCGATGATTAAGGGCGGATTCTCTGGCCAATTTGGAGACGATTTTTCCTTAGCAAAAATGTTGAGAAGTCAATAATTTTCGAGTTATAAGCGATTGAAAAAAATGGGTTTTTTGAAAACTAAACGTTTTGGAGTTAAAAGTCTAACATAATTACATTCCTCAGTTAATTTCAGGTAGAGTTTACTATAATAAAATTTTAATTTGAGGCTTAGTTATAAAGATACATAATGACAAATATTGGAAAGTTGTAAAAAATGATGACCTTTTTCGACATTTTCGCTGAGGAAAAATCGTTCCCAAATTGACCAAAGAATCCATTTGTGATCGTTGGTCCGTTAGTTACCGGACACCCTGTATGTATACAGGTTGCTTCAGCAGGGTCTAGCGATCAGGGAAATTTAGGAAACCGGGTATTGTAAGGGAATTTTATAAATCTGCACGGAGAGAATTTTCTCTTCAAATTTAGCCTGAAAATTATGGTAATCGTGCGACAATGTAGTATTGGAGGAATCTTATAAGAGTTTCTCTGATTAATATTTACTACACAAAAAAATATTAATATGTACATAGTAAATTTACTAAGAATTTATTATGTACATAGTAAAATTTACTATGTACATAATACATTTTACTATGTAAATAGTAAATTCTTAGTAAATTTTACTATGTAAAAATATTAATATATACATAGTAAAATTTACTATGTAGGTACATAGTAAAATCTTATAAGAGTTTCTCTGATTAATATTTACCACAAAAAAATATTAATATGTACATAATAAAATTTACTAAAATTTATTATGTACATATTAATATTTTTATTGTGGTAAATATTAATCAAAGAAACTCTTATAAGATTCTTCCAATGCAAATTTTGTTACACGATTACCATGATTTTCAGGGTAAATTCTAAGAGAAAATTCTCTCCGTGTGGGATTGTCAGGGAAAAGTCAGAAAATTTTATTATTTATCTGGATTTTTTCACATTATTCTACATTTGACACAATAATTTGAAATTTTTTATTAAATAAATATTAACTTTTCCTTTGACTCCCAGCACGCTAATTTTCTGTGTTGTTAAAAATCGATTCATCTACAGTGTGTTCGTTCATTTATATTTTTATCGTCGTGTTATTCTATTTTAATGTGTTTAATAGAGATAAAACTAAAAAAATTGATATAATATAAATAAAAAAGGCGATTATTTAAATAGTTTATAGTGACATGTTTGTTTCGATTATCGTACAGATTGTATAATTTATTTAATGCAGATTGTGTGTATAATTTATTTAAATTTTTGTTGTTTTAACTTCCGAACCTTTTCATTGTTGACAAAAATATCTCAAGGATTTCATGATTTAATTGATTTATCATATAGATATATACAAATTATATATTTGGAAAAAATAATACTAAAAAGTCAGGGAAAAAATTGATTTCTGGTCTTGGAAAATCTGAACAAATCAGGGAATTTTTTTCATTGAGTTCGCTGGACACCCTGTAAGAGAAATGTCAGTATTCTGGGGTTTATGTGAATGTAGCACTCAACTTTTTAAAAATTAATTTTTTAATATAGAAAATAATAGCAGTTTGTTTTTGTAGTTATTTGTAGTAAGAATAATTTTGTTTCTTGTTTATCAGTTAAAAAATATTTTTTTTTAATTAATCGCACTCGAGATTAAGATATCAAAAATTCGCTTGCGCATTCTTTTAGAATTGTTTCTAGCTTTTTGTAGTGATTTTATTTTTTAAAATGACTACAAACGAAATACTATAATTTTCCGTATTAAGAAATTAATTTCTCAAAAGTCATGTCAGATTCACATAACTGAATGCGCGATATTTTCAAGTTCGAGTACGTCTTTAAACGAAGATAGATCGATATCGATCTTAAAGCAAAAATATTTTAAAGTGACTAGCACCTTACTTTAATTTTTTAAATTCGCGTGCGCAGCATTTTTTAAAAATATGTAAATCAAAGACTCGGTTTAGTGGTTTTCAATGATTTTCGTTTCGTTTATAGTTGCACGGTTTAGCAATTGCAATTGTTTAAAAAAATGGTCAATAGTTAAATTTGTCAGTTTTAAAGATTTTTTTCAAATCTGCTTTTTCCAGACGAATTAGACTCGTTTACAGTTGTTTGTAGCATTTGCAATCGAAATTTATATTGATCGAAAAAGCAGATTTGAAAAATCTTTAAAATTGACAAAATCACTTTTGACAATTTGTTTAAACCACTGCCATTTCTAAATTGTACAATTACAAACGAAATAGAAATCACTACAAACAAAAAACTACAAACGATTTTAAAAAAGTTTGCGCAAGTGGATTTCAGATATCTTAAAGTCGTGCTAGTCATTTTTAGTTTTTTTTGCTCTTTAATTGACTACAAACGATATTACTGTTAATGCAAACAACTAAATACAAAAGACTATCATTTTCTGTGTTAAATAATTAATTTTTTGAAAGCCAGATTCACATAGCTGAATGCGTAAATAGATCGTTATCGATGTTAAAAGTTTACATTCAACCATAATAGTCAACAAGAAACGACAAAATTTAACAAAATCATTTCATAGTATTTGATTCTGCTAAGTTAATAAATGTATTCATTTTTAAACTTGAACACAATGTACGTATTTTTATTTACCGTTCAGAGAAAAACACGTATTTATATAAACTTTCCTGCTGCCGTTGTTCTGTTTTACCGACTTTAAGTTAGGTTAGGTTTCTTATGTAATATACATACATAATTAATTCAAGTACGAATCTTTTGATACAAGCTTTTAATCTCATTTTTATTATTTTTGTATTATTCTTTCATGTCATCTCTATTAGGAGCGCCATATTTTGTGCACAAATAAACTGCAGAACTTTTGTATTAAATAAGTATTGTTATGAACTGATGCAAGAGGCCGATAAAAAACTAATTTTTTAACTTTCATTGTTTTTTTATACGAAATTACAGCGCTCCCCGTTCATTATTATTAGTACTTTAATTGTGGAGAAGGATTTTTCAATCTGTATAGCGAATAAAAAGAAAAGCCCTTGAATTAAAAGTCGATAAAACAGACATGATCAGGATCTCCTTAAAACAATGCGTATATATAAGCATGTCCTAGAATACTGATTATTCCTCCTGAAACACCCTTTATATTTCTCCTCCTTTATCGGAGAATATCGATCCGAACATTATCTTTTAAATTTTATTGTCATTGAATTCTGCTTTCGCTCCACGTTCTTGTTATAATCCCGGCTTAATCGCGTATATATTCCCCCTTATTTTCCATGACAATACTTACCGACTACAGTCATGTCTCCGTGATCGGAGACCGTCTCAAAGGCGGGAGCCTCGCCCGACACCTCGCAGCGATACCTCCCCGAACTCCTCAGATTCACGTTGTTCAGGACGACCACGGTTTGGTTGGACTGTAACCTCTGAATGCAAATTCGCGATTACAAACTGCTGTGCCCGATCGAGCGTGAACGCGGAGCATGCGCGATGCGCGCCGGTGAATAAACTAGATTCTATCAGATTCGAACGAAAAACATCTCGCCGTGAAGGATATATGCATACGTACACACGAACTTTTTTTTACACTTCTAAGATTCAACAAAAAAATATAGGACATCGAAAATTTGTTATTAGGGATGCTTTTTAACAAAGGATCGATACTTTCCGAGAAACAATTTTTTATATATAATTATATATAAATAATTGTATAATTATATACATATAATCGTAAAATTATATGTGAAATATGTCTATTTTTATACATAATTATATAAATTATAAAGATTCATATATAATCATGTCAAATTATATATGAAACATATATATTTATATATATGAAGAAATACTTATTATATATATATATATATATATTTATATAAAAAACACTTTTATCTAATTATATATGTACATATTTCATATATAATTTTGCGATTATATGTATAATTTTATATAATTTCTATATAATTTTATATTGTTATATATAAAAAATTTGTGACCGGGTTTTATTCGTTTAATATTCGATATACAAAATATTTAATAAATGTCATACTATTAGTCTGTCAAATTCGAATAGAAAATACTTTGCCTTGAAGGATATTGTATGTATACGTATACATAAACCTTTTTTTTACGCACCTCTAAGATTCAACCAAAAATAGGCATTGAAAAAATTTGCTATTAGAGATGCTTAAATTTAACAAAGGATCAATACTTTTATTTGTTCAATATTTGATATATGAAATATTTTATAAATGTCAGACTATTATTCTGTCAGATTCTATCAGATTCGAACGTAAAACATATCGCCGTGAAGGATATATTGTATACATGCAAACAAACCTTTTTTTACAGCTCTAAGATTAAACAAAAAAATAGGGCATTGGAAAAATTTGCTACTAAAGATGCTTTTTAACAAAGAATTGACAATGTTATTTAAATATTTAATATTCGATATACGAAATATTTAATATTCGATATACGAAATATTTAATATTTGATATACGAAATATTTAATAAATGTCAAACCATTATTCTATCAGATTCGAATGGAACGATGTATTTATGTACACATAAACCTTCTTTTTACATCTCTAAAATGAACAAAATAGACCATTGGAAAATTTTCTATTAGAGGTGCTTAAATTTAACAACTGATCGATACTTTTATTTAATATACAATATATGAAATATTTAATTAAATGTCAGATTATTACTGTCCCCGTAATAGAAATACTAGGTGTTCCGAAATTAGCGAATTATAAATATATCTGTTTATGAAAGATTCTTCAGATTATTTGGAGACGATTTTTCTTTAGCAAAAATGTAGAGGAATCAATAATTGCGATTGAAAATAAAGAGTTTTTCGCAAATTAAGCTTTGTGGAAATAAAATATTAATAAAATCACATTCTTCAATTAATTTTAAGTAGACGGAGATAATTTTCTCTTATAAATTTTATTTGTTTTATTTTATTTATTTATTTTATATATTATTATGGTGGATTATTAATATTTTTTATTTGTGGTAAATATTAATCAAAGAGACTCATAAAATTCTTTCAATACTATATTGTCCCACGATTACCATGATTTTCGGGATAAATTCTATATATAATCTGTAAAGAGAAAATGCTCTGTGTAGAGTTTACTTTAATAGAGTTTTAATTTAATGCTTATAAAAGATATTTGATGTTAAAATTTGGGTGAGAACACGTAAAAAATCCTTCGACATTTTCATCGAAGAAAAATCGTCTCCAAATCCTGATCCTAGGAATCTGCCATATATTCATTGCATTCGTGAATTTCAGGACATCCTGTATACAAAGTTGTCGAAGTACACAGTAGAAAAATTTGTGTTTTCTTGTTAAAAACGGTTGTCGTTAAAATTTTTGTGTCAAATATTTAACACATTTATGTGTTAATTTAACATATTGCTGTTGTGTTAATTGAACTTAAATGTTAAATTATTAAAACTGAAAAAAGATGTAAAAATAACATAATGTGCATCTATTTTCAATTTTACACGATAAATATGTTCTGTTTTATTAGTGGCAAGATTTATCCATTAAAATTTACAGAATAAAGTGCTGATTTTTAATTTTATAATATAAGTCCGGATGATAAAATCTAAAATTAACATATTTTTAATTAATTTTTACATTAAAACTATATTAATTTTACACAAAATTTATTTAAAATTATTTAAAGTTTCGTATTTATTTTGTGTTAAAATATTAACACATTATTTGTGTCTCCATTTAACATATCCATATATATTATGTTAAATTAACACAAAAAATTCTGTGTAAACCGTTTGGGACATCTGTGATATCTATTAAATCTAACACAAATTCAACTGTGCATGCCACAGAGAAAATTTTCTTTTAGAATTTATCCTGAAAATCATGATAATCGTGGTATTGGAAGAATTTTATAAGAGTTTCTCTGATTAATATTTACCACAATAAAAAATATTAATATGTACATAGTAAAATTAATCGACTATATTTTATATCTTATTGTGGTAGATATTAATCAGAAAAACTCTCATACATTTATTCTTATACTTTTGTTCTTCCAATACTATATTATCCTACGATTTTAGATATTAATATTTTCATTGTGTTAAATATTAATCAGATAAATTTTTATAAGATTCTTCCAATATTGTCCCACGATTACCATGATTTTCAGGGTAAATTCTAAGAGAAAACGTTCTCCGTGTGATTGTTCTCGCTCGAGAAGAGAAGAAAGAAAATCTGGACGTTCCAAGAAAGCATCCTTGCAACTCACGTTCACGTTTACACCTCGAAGCGGAAACGTTAGCGACCTGGGCTTGTCTTTGGGCGTGTAGCGATAAAATTCGTGGCCGTCCTTGTACCACTTCACCGCGTACAATTGCTCTTTGTCCAAGTTGAAGTTGCACTGCATGCGCACCGTCTCGTTTAGGATGACGTGCTCCGGTATCTGCAGAGACGTCATGCGTAGGGCGACGACGACGACGACGACGCCTGCAAAAGATTCGCGCAGTTGCGCTCTGTAGGAGGATTGTATGTGGAGTCGCTGCGCAGCTAGAAAGTGGACCCTGCGGAGTCCCTAGTCTTGGTGACGTGTCCCCGTTGACCCACCCTCTACCTTCTACCTTTCCGTGCTCGCTGTCGCACAGTTGCAGCTCTCTGCATGGGAAACTTTGCGTATTCACTCGAGAGACTCGTATGAATACGCTCGGGGACAGACAGGTCACCGCGAGCTTTTCGCCATAATCGCGATGTACTCTCTCTCTCTCTTCGAGTTAGTAGTTTCAATCTTCGACTGTGTCCTCGCACGCGACACGACCGTCCGATCAAATTCGACGATAATATTCGTACGAGCGCATACTTGCGAATTTACCGCTACTGAGTCATACGTGATTCACTGCTACGAGTGCTTTTTGAATTATATGCGCACGTGTGACTCATCTCTCTCTCTCTCGTATTACGTTATTATGCAGATAATACATATATTATTATAGTATATCGTGTCATACGGAAATTTTAGGGGATGCAAAACCAGATGTCACATTATCAGATTAATTAGAAATCTATTTTTTTGACAACAAATTTTGCGTGGCATTTCGCTTCTTTTAGAGTTGAAACCTCTAGACACTGAAAAAAATTGTTAATTTGACTAAACCATGCAACTAAATAATATTTTGTTGATTGAATATACATATACTTAATATTATTTAAATTAAATATATAACATAAATTTAACAAAACGTGTATATATATATATATATATATTTGACTTAAATACTAATATATGTTCAATTAACAAAATAATTATTTAGTTGAACAGTTTAGTCAGGTCAATAATTTTGTTTTCAGTCTATACATAATAAATTCATTCTGTCTGCTGTATATTCTCTCCCGCATTTCTCTTCAACTAAATAATATTTTGTTAATTGAACATACATATAATATTATTGAAATTAAATATGTAACATATTTAATCTAACAAAACATGTATATATACTTGACTTAAATACTAATATATGTTCAATTAACAAAATAGTAATTTAGTTGAACGGTTCAGTCAAGTTAACAATTTTTTTACAATATATACATGATAAATTCATTCTTTGTGCTCTATATTCTCTCTCGCGTTTCTAGATTTAAAATGCGACAAATGTAATTTATGCTTCTAAAGAAAAAGTACGAAGATATGCAGAAAGCACGGATCTAAGGATGAATTGATATGATGCGAACGGATGTTCCCCCGATTGCATGTCGAAGAGAAGCAGCCCGACTTTTGCGATATCGACTTTGCGGAATAATTGATAACCGAGAGCATACGGGGTTTCACGTGCTTCGTCTTTAAAACTGCAACAGCCTTTGAGACGTTGAAATTTCTTCGACAATGCAGTGCCTTTCGCTCGTATTTCTTCAGAGACGCGTTTCTTTCCGACGACGCTTTCACTTTAAGCATACACGAGTTGCACGAAAATACGTATATATGTACATGTATCACATGATTGCGCGTAATCTTTTAGTCATAAATAGCCGTGTGCGAAGCTAACATATCACTTAAGGATGTATAAAGGACGTACAATTGGAGATAAAAATATATTAACGCTTTTGACGCTGCAGATTTTTTAATAATAATAAAAACGAGCAAGTAAATCGTTTTGAAATTTTGCAGAAACATTTTTATATGTTTGAAGAATATTATATAACAAAATCAAATTTTTATCATTACTTTTTCATAATTTGAATAATTTATTATCTGTCTCTCAAATATTTACATAAAATTCTATGTCAAAATTGCAAAATTCATTAATTAACTTTTAAACGAACAAGTACAAAGATTTGAAATAATTTATCATGATTTAGAACGTTAATTAAGAATGATCAGTTAAAAATTCACGGTAATATCATTGATTTGTAAAATCTATCCAATGCATCTTTAATGGAAGATTATAAATGATTCAGAGTTCTAGCTTTATTTTTAATAGTCTAGAATTCTTGATAGACTTTAAACAAATAATTCAGGCGATTAAATAAAAAACGAAAGAAAATGTTTAAGGCCAAATTGATACGCCAACTTTACGTAACACATTACTTTGTACTTTGTACTACAGCACTTTCTTCATCAATCAAATTACATATTTATATTCTGCATGTTATAAATAATGTTATAAATAGTGCGAAATTAGTCTAATATAGATATGTATTTTATCTGTTACAGGTAACATTGCGATTCACGCGTCGTTCGAGAGTACCGGATAAAGTTCCGCGCGTCGGAAGTTCCGTATAAAGTTTCCGCGGGTCGGGAGTGCCGTGTAAAGTTCCGCGGATCGGGAGTGCCGTGTAAAGTTCCACGGATCGGGAGTACCGTGTAAAGTTCCGTGGATCGGGAGTGCCGTGTAAAGTTTCGCGCGTCGGAGTGCCGTGTAAGTTCCGCGCGTCGGGAGTGCCGTGTAAAGTTCCATGGATCGGAAGTGCCGTGTAAAATTCCGTGCGTCGGAAGTGCCGTATAAAATTCCGCGGAACGGGAGTGTCGTGCGATCGTAATTATTCGCGAGTGTCGTGAGTGCTACCAAGAGAGGAGGAGGAGGCCCAGGGAGGCATCGGGCAAGAGCGAGACAACTGTGAGGTATGCAAAATAAAAATATTTCTTTCGAAACTGTGTATTGTTTATGAGATATTCGATCCAGCCTTTCAAAACACCCTGTATACACATATGTATATACATAATTTGAATATTTTGTTTTCAGATCCATGCGCTGTGTACTACTGCACGGATCGGTGAGTGAGAAATTGTTTATTTTGTAACATTTCCACAGTGATAATAAAAGTGCGTGAAGCGGCTAATTTCGTGGAAATTCATATTGGCTTTATTTTCAATAGTTGTAGAGTTTTTGATAACAAATAGTTTATTTTAATTAAACAAATAGTTCTAGCAATTAAACCAAAGAAAATTCCTAAGGACTAAATTGATATGCTAACTTTGCGCAGCATATCACTTTGTTCTACGACATTCTCTCCTTATCAGTAATTGTTTCAATTTAAAAGATTTATAATTCTACAAGAATTCTAAGAAGAGTTCTCTCTTTTAAAATAAAAAATATTAATTAAAACTAAATAAATATTAGCAGCAACAAAGTGATTCAATCATCTATGATTTTTTTTCTATGAAATGATTTGCTAGCTTCACGCATGTTAAATAACATGCGAGAGGAAAAGAAAGAGAGATATAGAGTGGCAATTTTTTAAATAAAAAAAATTCTCTATCCAACAGGCGATACAGGTATATTCCGCTTGCGGCCGATTTTTCGCGGATTTTAATTGAAAAGGAATTTAATTTGAAGCATACGATTGCCAAGATATATATATATGTATATGTATATAGCGTTACAAATTGAAAACTCGTAATATATTCTGGTTTCGGCGGATCAATTTTCGCGAAGAAAAAACAACCGACCGCGAGTTTACCGGCATTTTTGGGGGAGGAATGTTCCGTGTATATATGTACAAACAATGCACGCGCGGCATTACAACGAATAACAAATATTCGGTAATTGTGGTCAGGCGCGTAGCAGCAGTAATGAATCTCCACGTTTGTCAAAATTCTTTCCGCGGCACAAACGCGCGCGTGTCCTCTAATCATACCTTGCGCTTTTGTAAAACGATAATATGCTGGAAAGAGGTGGGAAGAAGAGAGAGAGTGACGCCTTCATAAACACACGACACGCCCGGCGTCGTTAATTAGTCTTTCCTTCGCGCCGATGCGAGCCGAAACGCGGTGATTAACGCTAATCGCGTCAGTGTTTGCCGTGTTTAAAATTCCGCCGGCGGTGTCTTAAATTAAGTCCGCTAATGAATGGACCGGTGCGAGACGAGATTGCCGTTTATATATCGCCAGATGCCCTTATCGCGGCTATTCTCGAGCCCGTTGCGTACGCACGCACGTATGCATTGTCATTGATTCGATAAGCATCAGGGTCACGCAACGTAAACGTATCGCTGCCTGGAAATTATCCGAACGCTGTTATTAGGGGTAATTAATTTTTTTTTCCTCTCACATATCGTACGACAGACCACTCGCGCTATAATATATATATATAAAGCCTTCGTAATTCGCGAGCGAGCCAATTTATCGCGAAATAAAATCGATACAACGCCGCGCAAATAATCGCACAATTTATCCCCTTTTCTTCCCCATAATCTTCCTTCGTGAAATTCAGAATAAATTCTTTCCGGAGAGAGAATTAAATTTCTGTTAAAGGTACATCTCGCTGAAAGTTCGCTGAATGTGAGTTATCTCGAGGCACAAAGAGACCTTCTTCGTCATTTAAATCGCGAAAATTATTTGAAAAGTATCGCGTGACTCCCTCTCTCTTTCTCATTTTAAATTCCTTTATTCACGACCGCGAAAAGTCGTGCGCACGATATAAATCACTTGACATATATATATTCTCTCTCTCTCTCTATATATATATATATATATATATATATATATATATATGTTATATGCGCGACGTTTGTTTCGCGCTTTGAACGTGTGTTTACGGTCGAAGGTTGCGAGAAAATGCGAGGAAATATTAGGAAGAAATATCTGCGCGTCTGACCGCATCTCTCGCGGGATAGGAAAAAGGGGTGAAAAGGAGGATGTGTGTGAGCCGCAGAGTCGAATTTCCAGGCGCACCAGGTGTAAGTTTCCCTGTTGCAATCTTGTCTCGCACCTGATACGCCCTACGACTTTTTCCCTCCATTGTGCCCCGACTCTGGCGGAAAAGATTGCGAGTCTTATTTATCGGTTGTGACATTGCCAAGTTTGAACGGCAGGTAGCGTTCGCGGCTGAAGGAAAAGAGATTCAAGGGGTACAATAAGCATCCCTTTTCCTCCTCCCTTTTTCTTCCGTTTGTGTGCCTCCCTTTCCCTCTCTTCTTCTTCTTCTTCTTCTTCTTCTTCTTCTACTTCTTCCTGTTATGCTTTGTATCTTGAGCGCGTAAAGCGCGACAAGATTAACGAGATAAAGGGATCTGAAAAGGCGTTTTATTTCTCGCCATTTCGTTTATATCGCGAGTGAAATGATGGTGTTAGGTGGCGGAATAGAATGCGGCCGTATTGTACTCCAGGCGCAGTACAAACTTTAGTAGCGCGAATTCTCGGAATGTTTAAAAGGTGCCGCGTGTATTAAACTTCAACAAATATATAATTTCTCGACGGCTTACCAATTTAACTAAATCTTCGTACATATATCTTTCAAATTTGCACTAACACGTCGGTTGAATCGCATTTCTTTGCATTAATTCGACTGCTTTTTTCCCCATCTTTGTTTCTTATAGTTCAGTAAAATTGAAAAGGGCAAAACTTCAACAAAATTATAATCAAACTGAATTTTTGTGGAGATTTTTATTTCGATGTTCTAATGAAATCCTGAAAAGTACCCTTAATTTCAGTCAGGGCGATTTTTTATGGGGAGTAAAAGGGAGTAAATTTTAGTTTTTTTGTCATTATCTCGAAAACTACCAATTTTTCGAGGAAAATAGTTATTATCAAAATTCTAGCTCATAAAATTCTCTACAAAAAAGGTTATACTTTTTTTCGTACAATTAATCGTTTTTGAGCAAAACGTGCGGTAAAGTTGCAATAGTTAATCACATATAATACTATAGTAATGTATACATTTTCTTTCAAACTTAATTCGCTCGGTACCTTCGAAACGATTAATTTCACGAAAAAAAGTATAATGACCTTTTTTGTAGGGAATCTTATGAACTACAATTTTGATAATAACTATTTTTCTCGAAAAATTGATAGTTTTCGAAATAATGGCAAAAAACTAAAATTTACCCCCCCATAAAAGCGCACTGGCTGAAATTAAGAGTACTTTAGAATATTTATTAGAACATCGAAATAAAGGTCTCCACAAAAATTCAGCTTAATTATAATTTTTTTTTAAGTCAAAGTCTAATTTTACTGGACTATTACCAATTTAATCTCAAATACAATCACGAGAAAAAACAATTCCGCTCATTAATATATTATCGAGAGAAAACCGTTGTTTATTATTTTAATTATATATATTAAATGCGTTTCATTTTCATTTATTAAATTTCAACAAATATAATTCTTCATCAATTTAGTGAAATTTTCTTACATAAATTTGCATGAGCACATCGGTAGAATCGCATTCTTTTGCATTAATTCGACTACTTTTTTCCCCATCTTTGTGTTTCACCAATTTAATTTCAAATACAATCGCAGGAAAAAGCAATTTTCTCTCATTAATATATTATCAAGAGAAAACTGTTACCTATTATTTTTGTTATATTTGAAAGGCATTTTATTTATTTGAGAACAATGTGGAAAATGAAAAGTTGAATGGTATAAAAGGTTTTAATTTTTCGTAAGCGGTAAAAACCGCGAGATTCGTATATTATATATACGAATTTAATAATAACGACTATCAGATATCTCTCGTTTTGTAATTATTTGAAATTCTTTCGAGCAAAAGGGTATCCGTTTTATCAATATTTACGCATTTCGTATGCTGTTTGCAAAATTGTTTGCAAAAGCAAAATAGTCCTTCGCGAACACACGCGTCGGCGGACGTATATTTTGGAAATAATGCGGCGTAATAGGAAATGTTGGAAAAACAGTATTATCATAATTTAATTCGCTCATTAAACCTTCAACCTTTGACGACCTTTGATAACGATCCGCTGATTGAGGATCGCAGAGATCATAGTGTATCGCGAAATTTGTTTTTTCCCTCCACCTTCTCTCTTTGCCATCCCGCACACACATATTTATATATATATATACATATATATATATATATATATATATATATATATATATATATACACACAATATATACACGCATACACATAATTTCGAATCACAGAGATCGAGCAATTACCAGGCGTATGAATATTTAATCGGGCTTTTGGTGACCGATTGTGCTCAATGCAGTTCATCGTATAATCCGGGATGTCAAAATATATATGTCGCGTGCGCGATCGGCAGAGGGTTAAAATGTCCGCGCGCCCGCCTCGACGAACTGAATATTTATGGCCGGCACGCGTACGTGGGGCGGACATTGTTCTTCATTACATCCGCGCGCGTGAAATCCATGATGATGCTCGATCGCGGGATTAAACGCTGCCTGAAGAATTCCTTGCGATTTTTCTTTATTTCTTTTTTTTTTTTTTCGACAGCCCGAGAAAACAGTTTTTATGTAATAATATTTCTATAGAAAATTATATACATAGAAATATTTCTATTATCAAATTATTATATATATTTCTGTATATATAATTTTATAAATTTATTGAAATTTTGACCTAATTGGCCAGTACAATTTAATTAAAAACACTACGTGTTGACTCTTAGGTACGGGTCCTTTTCAAGTGTAACTTTCAAGATGTTGATTCGACAGCAATAAAATTACTAATGTTAAACGTTAAAAACGTTTGACTTAAATTGATTTACTTGTCTCCGGTTTAACATTAGTAATTTTATTGCTGTCGAATCAACATCTTGAAAGAGTTACACTTGAAAAGGACCTAAGGGTCGAAACGTAGTGTTTCTAATTAAATTGTACTGGTCAGTTAGGTCGAAATTTCAATAAATTTGTATGGTTGTACTCATCACTGGCGACTTCATTAATTTTATAAATTATTTAAATATTTCTATATCAAATTTTTATATACATTTCTGTATATATAATCTTATAAATTATTTAAATATTTCTATATAAAATTATATAGAAATATGTAAAATTATAACCGCAAAA